TAAACTTACGAGGAATATCATCATAACGTTCAAAAAAGTGCGGATTATTCCTAACGAAAACACATATTTCATAAATGTATAAGCAAGGGACCGTTAGTATTTTTAAGATTTTAAAAAGTGGTCTACAAGATACTATTTTTTTTACGTCACATATGGCTCGAATACATGATTTTTGTGCAATTAATGCTTTATTTATATTACAAGAATTTCCCCATATTATAATACCGTATCTCAATATTGAGTCTACGTGTCAATAGTAAGCCATAAGAGCAGTTTCTTTGTTTGAAATCTTAGCAAGCTTCCACAAGGCATATGTGAAAGGATTTATTTTTTTACATATTTTGTCTATATGGTCTTTCCAAGTCAAATGTTTATCTATAATTAAACCTAAAAATTTTACACTATTTTTTTCCTCCACTATTTGGTTGTCATAATAATCCACTGTTTGGTTTTGATTTTAATATCTTTTTTTTTACCATTTCTATTATTATATATATTTATATATTATTATATTATATATTATATATTATATATTATATTATATTAAAATGTTGAAAAGAGTTTTAGAAAATCAATGTCATACAGGATAGCAAGCAGTGGTGTAATTATAGGGTGACAAGTCGGCAAAATGCCACGGGCCTCCAGGTGGAAGGGGCCTCCGGTCAGAGAAGACTCCTTACTTGAGACATTTATTATTATGCAATTAGTAAAAACAAAAATAGAATATCCAATGAATTTACACAGGCCTCAAACAGTATAGTTACACCACTGATTGCAGGAAACTCTTTTTTTGAATCCCAAACCTTTTTAAGAGCCATATGACAAATTTTCACTCTGTGAGATTAGGTATTTTGAAGCGTTCCGAGTTCTCGACAACTTGTTTTTTTTTTAGTATTTCTATGGTAAGATTCGTTATCGATTCCCGAATATTTTAACACGACTGCTCTCGAAAAGGAGTCTATTGTTTTTAGAATTAATGTATGTATGTGAGTTTTTTTATTGCACCATAACTTTGAAAGATATAACGGATATGAATGTATAGGGCACATTAGAAACATCATCCTAAATTACCACAAACTACATAGAGTATCAGTGACACTAGCTTTATTAATATTAAATAGGTACATCCCCGTGTGACGCCATTTAAAAAAGTTTGTTTTTTTTTAATCATAACTTTATGAGTACCAAATTAAAGGTCCATTAAATATATAATCTTTATACATAATTAGCTGCTCACTAAAAGGAATAAAATATAAATAAATAAAATAAAAATTAAAAACACGACTGCTAAGATCGGACAAAAATTAAAAGAAACAAGTTTAGCCAAATGTTGTTTGGCGCATATTGTTGCGACGTTGTCAGCGCGGACTAGACCGCCCGTTGCTAATTTATAATTTTTGGTGTATTGTTAAATAAAGAAAATTCTCGAAGATTCATTTTTTGCATACGCTACTTTGATGGCCAGTTTTATTACTTTTATATGAAATTTGTCATAGTTTATAGTATTCTACTACTCAAGCCCTTTTATTTGATATCCGTATTGAGGGAGTCATGACAATATGTAGGTAATCCAACATTTAGTGGCGGCGGTCATCTTGTATATAAAATTTTGTGATAATGTTCAGTATTCTACTACTCAAGCCCTTTTATTTGAAATCCGTATTCAGGGGGTCGTGAGAAATAAATAATAGCATTTTTGGTGGCGGCTATCTTGGATTTGAAATCAAAATCGGTTCATCCGTTCGGGAGCTATGATGCCACAGAAAGACACACACACACAGACACGTCAAACTTATAACACCGCGTCATTTTTGCGTCAGAGATTAAAAATATATAGAATTAAGAAAAAGTTGTTTGATATGCAGATCTCAGATAAATTTGATATCGTTCGAATTGCATCGAGCCATAAGTCTAAGTTAATCCTTATTACGTAAGTCAACTTCTAGTGAAAGTCCCTACATAATCGGCCAAGCCGTTTCAGAGATTAGCCAGAACTAACAGACAGGCAGATAAAAAATATTATTTTTGTATATGTACCGTGTATACACACAAATGTATTTAGTGAAAAGCGGTTATTTTAATATTACAAATATGCACTCCAATTTTTATGTATAAGTGTATTGAGAAAAGAAGTACCTTGCTTTATTTGCATTTCTTAATATAAATATATATTTTAACTCTCTTATGTATTAGAAATAATTCAACAAGCTATATAAATTCCATATAAATCGAACTTCGTGATCAAAGTTGGAAGTCCCACTATTCTGAGCGCTTAGTGTAAGTTTTTTTGACGTTTACATTCACTGTCGATCGTGAGCGCGTTAAGATTTTAGTATGGAATCCAGTACAGCGCCCCTAGCGGTAACTACCAAGAACTACGAATCTCCATACAAATTTTTAACGCGCTCACTAGTGAACGCGTTAGCGTAAAACTTACACTTACCACTCTGCTCTATTAACGCGAACCTAGATCGAAAATGGCGCGAAGTAATGCGACACAGGTCCAACCAGAGTAACCAACTCTCAAAACTATTTATCCCTAAATCTAAGTCGAAATCCCCTAAAATTGCCTCAATTTTTTGAAAATTCCCCTAAAAATATATTTTATTAAAATAATATATAAAATAAAAGTGATATACACACAAACATTAACATAACAGCTCACTATTTAAACATGACCTTGAAATTTCTAGTCACCTGTCACAGACTAGGAAAGAAGCACAGACTAAAAAGAAAGTTAGGAAGCGATACTAGTCATTAGACACTAGATGTAATTCAGTCCGAAGTCATTCAATGAGTAAAAAAAACATTTGAATGACTATTATTGGATTGAATAGTTCTATTATATTCAGAATTACAGAATATTATGTATTCAGAAAACCCTTAAAAATACCCCTAAACATATAAAACCCCCAAAAAATCCCATCCCACTCAATTACCCCCTAAAGTTGGGGGGAAAACCCCTAAGTTGGGAACCGTGGGTCCAACGTTGAGGAGCGCTCGCGCGGTACTGAGCTCAGATGGCCGCTGCATCGTATTTTGTAGTGATTTTGAGTATACATTTATCGTTTTTATTGAAATAATATAATAAATTTATACTTTATATTATAATATCTTTGTTCCTTATGAAATAGTCATTAATCTGGCATAAATTTTGTTAAATAATATTGTTGTGGCTTAGAGAAATTCAAAGTTAACTTCAAGCAATTTTTGATGTTTTTTGGTTTATAATATGATTTTTTTTTCTATATTTAATCAGTGCTATATCAAAATTTCGATGCTACTGTTTACTTTATGAATATATAAGAAATATAATTCTATTTTTTTTATTTCGTTTGTTAAGAACAGTAGCCCAATCCAGAAGTTCAAAAAAAGTGTCTTTGCGCATTTTATGAAAATCTTTCTCTGGTATTTTGGGTTTAATTAAAAAGATGAGCAAAATTTCCAAAAAGTTAGGCCACTTATTTCTATATCAAGAGTTATTCTTCACTATTCAACAAGTTAAAATTGTTAATTTATTTTTGTTTCTGAGAAAAATCACGCAACAATCACAGTTGAGACGTAATATGGGTCTTAAGCTCATATAATAATTGCCTATATTACATAATAAAAATTGCCTAGCGAAATAGACAAATGGTAGACTTAATGCCAGAGAGGCATTCTTTACCAGTAAATTAAGTACAAAACTTAAAGTGGTGACAGATATAATGAATGTTTTATCTTTTAACAATAAAAAAATGTTTTCTCAGGAAAACCACAATTTGCTTTGGGAAAACACACTTTAATAAAAATAACATATACTTTATGTTTCCTGCGATAAAACAATTTAGTATGTATTAGTTTGAATTTGTATTTTTTCATTAGACATACAGCCAACTAACTTTCCATTTACATTTGCAGAACAGACCAAAATCAATGATGGGTTTAGTTAGGAGCAAAATATATATTGGGTTTGTTATAATAACCTTTTTTTTACGGAAGGCAACTAACAACCTTAATATTTTACCAACTATAATGGATGGCAGTCCAGTGCAGTTGGCCTTCTTAATAAAACCCCTTTGTTTTTTTTTATAAAACCTCTTTCGCATGGTCTGGCGCCTGGTATCTGGCAAAATTCCTGGCCTAGGACATTAGGATGTTTGATACAATAACCTACCAATATGCAGTGTATTAAAATGTCATCAACCTGATCTCAAGAGACATTTCTGTGATTTATCAAAGCTACATTTATAAACATATTCAGAATTAAGTTTATGTTATGGCCTACCTAATCGTTCAGAAAATTCCTACAAGATCTCGCTTTACCATTTCTTGTTTAATATATTGAAGTATTTCATAAAATGTTTAATGATGATATTTTTTTAATTGAGCTTTTTGCTACTCACGCCTAAATAATAAACTCGTGACTTACCTATGATATCATATAAACTCGCTGTGTAGTTGTCCACAATGCTAGATAAAAAATTCATTGTTTATCAGCTGATCACCGAAGTATACACAAATCAAAACTTAGTTACTTTCATAAAAAAAACTAATAGTCAATCTCTATTCGTTCTCTTAAATATTCACTTTACAAACCAGACAAAATTATTCATTTCATAAATTATTTGAAATCTGCAATAACATTTGGAAACAGTAAGCAAAAATTTTGCAACACAACACATGCAAAATTGATTGGTCAACAATTTTTGACAACACGGCCTTGCATCTTGTCATTTTACCATTGCTGTCAGAATGACAGAATTAAGTGAATGTCAATCAAATTGACAACTAACTAAATAAATAGTGTTCCGAACTAGAAGCTAATTTTTTTCAATTTACATGTAGAAATTAAGTTATTTATTCACTTGACATTGGCAGAATTGTGCGAAATGCGCAGATAAGCCATTAATAAAAGAAGAAAAAAAACTAGAAGCTATTCCTAAGCTAAAAATGTGGTTGTGTTAATTTATTCCATTTAATTTTAAAGTGTGTCCGAATTTTTTATTATGACATTGACAGTTCATTCATCTACAGTTTTTTGTCTTGGATACAATTATTTATTTTGTGCTAACTAACACCCAAACAAATAGTAAATAATGCCTATAACCTTTTGAAAATGTCTGAAAAAACTGATAAAATATACCGCACAATGCTATTACGACGCAGATTTTGCAAACGCATACTTTTCATGGTGTTCGTATTCGGTGTATCATTTTATGTTTCTGTGTTATTGTTTGGCGACTTGAAGAGCCCTAGAGTAATGAATCTAGCTGATTTAGATCGCTGTCCGGTTTGTTATGGAGTCTCTGTGTGCCCTGAACTGTATTCTAATCAGATAATAATGGAATCTGGTCGTCATTGGGGTGCTTTTTTTAATGCCAAAAATATTTATTATGGTTACACGAGATCAAATCGAAGAGTCGTTTTAAAGAAATTAGCTCATGATTGGGAGCTGAAGGAGTTTGATTCGAAACTTTGCAAGTCTTGGGGCTTAAAGCGTGGATGTAAGCCTTTACAGCTTCTTAATATTTCGAATGTTGATAATGCAATATTGAACAATATTCAGTATAATATATCTTGGCCAGAAACTGAGCCTCGAAAAGGTTTAGTATTATGTCCGTACACATACAGCTTCTATGATTTAATCCAACCTGTTCTCAACAATAAAAAATCAAATAATTATAAATCTGACATGATTAATGTCTGGACAATGATAAATATAAATCCAGAACCTATTATATTGCAGGTAAAAATAATTTAAGGGTTTGTTTTATATTATTTAGTTTATTAACTTTCCAGTCACACTGATTTTGCTTACTTCTATATTCTATTATTAAGACTTCTAATTTTAGATAATACCCAAATCAAAAGGATGGCCGGTACCTGCTTTTGGTGGTGTTTGTGGTAGACTCGAAGTAGTGGCTTATGAGGGTGAACCACTTTCCTCTCTGTTACATATTGAATGGCACAGGAAATTGAAGTTTGCAAAAGCTATTCTAGAAGCAGCGATGGATTTCACTTTCAAACATGATAAGTTGGTATTTAACAGTCTCATACTGCTTTATAATCTTTAATGTATACCTTGGGTGTTCATAAGTTTTAAAGTTGCATAACCTTTTTAATAATTAACTTATATTTCTAAAACTTTCAGTAACCATTAATTATATAATGATCAACAATAAAATATATATTTTATTCAAAATGACCACCCTTGTTTTTAATACAGGCCCTTAGATGACTTGGCCACACATTGATGATGGCACAAATCTTTTCTAGTGGTATTCAATTTTCTTCTCAAACAAGGATTTGCTTCGGTGACTCCCAAGTTTGGGTGGGACTTTCGGCAGGCTCTGAGCTCTTATTCACACTATAAAGAATAATCCAGTGGGTTGGGGCTGGAGGAGGGCCACTCGTCCGCCACGATGAAGGCCGGCACATTCTCTCGCTAGGGTGCTTTTTACCTTATGGGATGGCGCCAAGTCTTGCTGAAAAACCCAATTCTTATTGTGGAATAACGTATCAGACGGGTTTCACCACGGGCTCTAAAATGTCACTCTGATAATTCTTTTCACCTTGACAACTTTTTGGCAGAAATTGAGCGGAGTGACACCTTCATACGAAACTTCCCACCATACCATCACACTAGCCGGATGATGAGTGCGCGAGACATTTCGTGCGGAAGCTGGGACATTCTTGCTACTTTTAGCATACACTTTATAATTCTCAGGATCAAGCAAACAATGACAACCTCTGCACATAAGGAACCGGAAGCCACCAAACAACAAAAACGAAAACTCAAAATATAACGACCTAAACAATTCCCCAAGCCGGAAAGCGGTCTCCGTGGGGACTAAAGACCGCAACCCTCTAACTAAACAGAAAGAAAAAGCAACATACAACAGAAATATTTATATAGCTACAATAAACACACTTACCTTAAGAACTGAAGAAAGAATATTAGAACTTGAAAATGCACTTGAAAACATTAAATGGGACATTATTGGACTTTCCGAAGTAAGAAGACTTGGCGACACCATTGAAGAACACAACAAATATATTCTTTACTACAAAGGAGAAACCAAAGGTCTCTACGGAGTAGGATTCATGGTCAAACCAGAACTTAAGAAAAATATTATTGAATTCAGAGGGGTCTCAGAAAGAATAGCAATACTTAACATAAAGCTACCTGGCTTCAGCAAAAATTGGTCAATAGTACAGGCTTATGCACCGACAGAATCTTCAGATGAAAAATCTAAAGATGACTTCTATTCGAAGCTCAGCGAGACCCTGGAAACTTGCTACAAAAATACAATTGTCATGGGGGATTTCAATGGAAAGATTGGCAAACAAAACCAAGGTGAAGAGACTGTAGTGGGGAAATACGGAACAGGCAAAAGGAACAGCAACGGAGAGAGACTGATAAGCATGGCTTTAGAACATAAATTAAAGATTATGAACACCTATTTTCTGAAAAAAACAACAAAAAAGTGGACCTGGATCTCGCCGGATGGTCTCTATTGCAATGAAATAGACTACATCTTAAGTAACCAACCTAAAATCTTCTATGATGTCGATACAGTCAAAAAGCTAAATTTCTATACCAATCATCGCATGGTACGAGCAGTACTAATTGGTGGTGATAAAAAGAAATGCAGGAGAAATTACAGAAAGTTCGATTGCCACCAGCCCCTATACAACTATACACAACAAAACAGAAGAAATACGGAAAACAACATAAATAAAACTCAAGAACTTTATGACAAGGAAATGTGCAACATGTATAGTAATAATTTAACGTCAAAACTAATGAACAAAAAACAAGATATATTCAGCATAAACACCATAGAATTAATACAGAAGAGGAAAGCTTTGTTAATGAACAAGAAAGATAAAACCACCCTAAATGAAATAACAAAAATAAGTAAGGAAATAAGCAAGAATATTAAAAAGGACAGAACTAGGAAGACAATGGCATCCATTAACAACCATATAACTAAGACTGGGGGGATTAAAAAAGCCCTCAAAGAACTCACAGACTCTAAAACATGGATACCTAAATTAAAAAACATAAAACAAACACTTGAAACTGAAAGAGGAAGCATTTTAGATATAGCTACAAACTTTTACAAGGCCCTGTATTCAAGTAAAACTTTAGAATCATCAGAGAAAACAACCAAAGATAGCATAAGCTCTCTAGATGAAAATGAGGAGAATATTCCCCCCATATTAGAAATGGAAGTGTCTCATGCAGTAAGATCACAGAGGAATGATAAATCACCAGGACAAGACAATATCACAAATGAAATGATGAAAATTACTCTACCAGAGAACCTCCATAAACTTACCCACCTGTATAATGTGATAATGGATTCTGAATACATCCCTCTTCAGTGGTCAAATAGCACGATCGTCCTAATATACAAAAAAAGGCGACAAAGAAGATATAAACAACTACCGCCCTATTAGCCTCATGTCAAATATATACAAAGTCTTTTCAAAAATAATTCTTAACAGAATCTGCAAAACCTTGGAATTTCACCAACCCCCTGAACAAGCAGGATTTAGAGCAGGATATTCAACCATAGACCATATACACAGCCTAAAGCAAATCATAGAAAAAAGCCAAGAGTTTGGGTACATATTATATTTGGCATTTGTTGACTATAAAAAAGCCTTTGATTGTTTGGAACACCATTATATTTGGAGAGCCCTAGAAAATCAAGGGGTCGAATCTAAATACATAAGGCTGATAAAAAACGTTTATTTCAACAGTACAGCGATCATCAAACTTGAGACATGCGGAAAAAGCTTTCCAATTCAAAGAGGAGTAAGACAGGGGGATCCCCTGTCTCCTAAATTGTTTTCCGCTGTGCTGGAAGAGGTCATGAGAAAACTATCCTGGGATGATCTCGGAATCAATATTGATGGCCGCAAACTCAACCATCTTAGGTTTGCAGACGACTTGGTGTTGATAACAGAAAACCCAGAGACTTTGCAATCAATGCTCCAAGACCTAGCTAGCAAAAGTGAAGAAGTGGGCCTAACAATCAACAAGTTAAAAACCAAGGTGATGACAAACGATATTGAAAAAATAATACTTGTTGATAATGAAAAAATAGAGTATGTGAATACCTATATTTATCTAGGACAGATAATATCCTTCCAAAACCAGATGCCACAAGAAATCGACAGGCGAGTAACAAACACATGGAAGCGATACTGGGCTCTTAAAGATATTTTCAAAAACAAAAAGTACAAAATCAGTATCAAGAGAAAGCTCTTCAACACCTGTCTATTACCTATACTTACATATGGCTGTCAAACATGGGCCCTAACCCAAAAACTCCAAAACAAATTAAGAACTACTCAGAGAAGTATGGAAAGGAGCATCCTTGGATACAAATTGAGAGATAAGATGCGTGCATCTGATCTACGCAAGATCACCAAATTCGAGGATGTTAATATGAAATGCAAACTACTAAAGTGGAGATGGTCTGGCCACATTGTAAGACAGCCAGCAGTGAGATGGGCCAAAACCCTGACTGAATGGATACCGCGTTATAACACAAAAAGGAAAAGAGGTAGACAGCTCAAGAGATGGGCTGATGACTTACGTAGAACAGCGGGGACTCTATGGATAAGAACAGCTAGAAACAAAGCAGAATGGAAAAAGTTAGAGGAGGCCTATGTGTCAGCAGGACACACTGATGAATGATGTGCGAATTTCGGTATAAATTGTAAATTGCAAACTACAAATCAGTAATAAAGGCTTTATTATTATTATATTATTATCTATATATAAAAATGAATCGCAAAATGTGTTGGTAAGCGCATAACTCAACAACGCCTCGACCAATTTGGCCAAATCTTTTTTTAAAATGTTCGTTGAAGTTCAAGGATGGTTTTTACGGCGAGAAAAATTAGAATTATTGCTGGAAAAACCCTAAAAATAGTCCTTTTCTTTTTCCCATACAAATGATTTGTAACTAAAACGTAGTCAATTTGAGCTTTATTGCTATGGTATAAAGTTCATATTAAATTACAAGCACTCACTGTTTTCTAAGCAATGTAGGTGTGTTCCTAACGTCAAAGATCATATCTATCAAAACAATGTGCGTGTGTGCGTTGGAGCACAGAATACATAGTTGGAGGAGTTTAATGTCGCGTTCCGAAACTCGCGTTTCTTTTGTATTAGTTTCGGCACGCGAAATAAAATGCATCAGTTTCCACGTCATTACATGTATTGCCGGAACATTGATGAAAATACGCTCTGTAGTAGCAAAGCTGTTGGGTCCTAGATAGCTCATTGGTTAGAGCAGTCCCTGGATCGCGAATGGGTTCGAGTCCCATTCCGGGGTACAGGTAGATGGATTCTTCCAGCATTTTTCCTTGAGAATGTTTATATATTTTTTTTAATTCGAATAGTTTACTTTTATAATGCTGTTGTGTGTAATGTGTTTTTATGATCATAAAAATCTCTTTTTTCTATATTTAATACTATTACTATTAATACATTGCAATAATAATTATGATTCACATGATTAACAATAAAGCGATTACTTACTTTTAAATCCTTATATATGTTTTATTTAATTATTTTTTATTCACAACGCCCTATCACCAGGGTGACGGTTCTGTTCAGGAGAATTTTTTTAAATACGTAGGCAAAAAAACTGCCACATTACAAATCTTTTTGACAGGACGAAGTCTGTCGGGTCAGCTAGTTATATTATAATTCTGTCGATTTAACTTTTTTAAATAGTAAAAATTTTCTCGTCAGTGAAGAGTATCATCCTGGCATGATGTCTCCTTAGCAGCAATGGACGATCGTTTTAAAAGTGAAATTTCCTGTTGCTATAAGCCTTTACCTTAAGATCATATTTCAGAATTCTGTTCACTGAAATGCGCAAAATATTAGACTACAGAGCGAGTTTCTTCTGATTGCGACATGGATTTCGGGGAATGATTTTGATGTCCGCAGACCTCTTCTCAGAACGAGGCCGACCATTCCTTTGGCGATCACGCAGAGAACTTGTCTCTTTTTACCGCTGTATTGTGTAATAGGCGAAGTTACGGCTTACAGGAAAACTTTTCAACTCACTGAAAATAACAGCCAGTAACATTTTATTTCATTTTTTCAGTAAAAAGTCTGTCTCAAAACTTATGAACGCACAAGGTGTCAAGCTTTATCATAAAAATGGTTGCAATGTAACAAATGTATTAATATAAAAAGTTCTTTATATTTTACAGATTCCGTTTTTACCTGATGGACTGGTCGTTGGACAACATAGTAGCCAATGAGAAGGATGATATATCTTTTGTTGATTTAGAGGACTTTGTAATATTAGACAAACAGATTTCACCTAGAAAAGACTTGCCGAATTGGTACCAGCGTTACTCCAGGGAAACAGGTCCTGGCTTTACATTTTCTATAGAAAATATGTGTAAACATCATCTCAGTGACCACAACATTTGGGCTGCATGCTACGTATTAGCCGGTGAAGAAAATCCACTATTGTATCCTATACCAAAAGATGTAAATGCCTCAAGACCACATTTCAACAGATTATTAGTGGAATGCTTGAATGGTGATGATAGGTTTCGTACAGTTACTAAGTTACAAAATGTCATAACAGACATGCTATTAGATGAGAAAATTGTTGGATTTGGTGTAGTAAGATGATAGTTACTAAGTAATATTGTGATATTATTATTTTGTTTGGGTGATTTATTTAATGCCCATCAGCACATCCATCCTACATGGTGACATTTTTTTTATTTCTTACTTATATTTTAGCACCTTTCACAGATTATGATGAAAGATCTTAAATTGCCCATATAATAGTATCCTGTATTTTTTAAACAGGGTTCAAAGTAGAACAGTAAATATACATATGGATCAGTTTACTGAATAACGAAGCACCAAACATGAATGATTATAATGTATTAATAGTCTTAATTTAAAAAGTTAACTTTATTATTAAGTTGCAAGTTCATATCCAATGAACAAGTGATATCCTATAAATTTCCCTCTTTTATGCATTTTATTGCAATTGTTGTGAGTTCAAATTTCGGAATATGTATGACCATGAATATTTTTTACTTTCTACCTGCTATTAAAGTTGACTGTAATATATATTTTTTTATTATTAAGCTGAATAAGAAAAAAAAGTAATTGTATGGTGAGCAATCAGTGGAGCGATTCCGTAAAAATCCGAACCCAAATCGAATTCACTCGTGTCCCGAATTCGCGTCGTTTAATGTAAAATTTATATTGATTCTATTTTTTTTTTGTGCAAAAATACAAAACATAATTGATTGCATATATGTGTCTCAGATATTCTATTTCTATGTTATTTCGAAACTCACTTCGCTTATGACACGAAACGATATTAGCAATGTGGAAGTATTTTAAGATAAAAAAGAAAACACTAAAAAGCAACTCTCTAGATGATGAATCTAGCAAAACTTGATTTTTGCTGGAAACAAAGGGACCAACGCTTAAACATTAGATTTTTCCAGGCTTGGGAAAAATCTATCATTGATCTTTGTTTTTTTTTCATCTGGTATGACGATGCCGAGATATTTTTCCACGCATCGCCAACCAGCATGGCGAACCTTTATTAACCATAGTATTTTTTTTTTATTATTGAGCAGTTGTTTGCCTGGCTTGTATGCTATCGACTTGAGCCAGAGCTCGCACTAAGAACTGGCTCCTAAGAAACATAATATATTGTGATTAATAATGCAAAATTTTGTATTAGATTCAAAATAATATTGGTTCTGATCGAATACTAAAACAATTAGAGTTTCTGCTCGAAATACCGAGTTTGTTTCGATCACAAATTCCAGCTATTCCGCCTCTTTTTTCTAATGAAAAGAAATGTTAACAGTTCGTTATCCTACCTTTCTTGGGTGGTCTTCAAGATGTCCAAACTCATCATAGCGTTTAATAGAGAACTTAAACTATCTGAATCTGCCGCTTATCAGCCTTACCAGTGTAATTAAATTATTGTCACTTGTAGGACTAACATAGTTAATTTTTAGATTCTTAAATAGATGTTCCTTAAACGAGAAACACTGTTATGAATTTTCACAATGGTACATAGACATAAGAATGTTACGAAATATTACGTTTGTAATTTTGTCAACGTTGGCTTAGAGCCATAATAGTATTTAATAGCGGGTACATAATTTAAGCCATAAGAAAGACAAATGAATGGATAAAATATATTTATGTGGAATAGGCGAAAGTGTGTCGAATGACTTACTTATGTATTTGTTTGATTTTGTACCATTTTTAGAGACATAAATATGTTACGAAATATTACGTTTGTAATTTTGTCAACGTTGGCTTAGAGCCATAATAGTATTTAATAGCGGGTACATAATTTAAGCCATAAGAAAGACAAATGAATGGATAAAATATATTTATGTGGAATAGGCGAAAGTATGTCGAATGACTTACTTATGTATTTGTTTGATTTTGTACCATTTTTAGTAAATTTTGTAAAGACTTCAATTATTCGGGACATTTAACGTCACGACCAGGTGTAAATCGGGACGGGTCTTTTTCTTCTTCTTCTTTTATTAATGGCTTATCTGCGCATTTCGCACAATTCTGCCAATTTCAAGTAAATTAATTAATTTCTACATGTAAAATAAAAAGAATGAAAGATGACGATGATGATATGATATATATCTTTAGATCCCTGAAAATCGGGACGTCCCGCGCAAATCGGGACACCTTGCAACACTAATGATAAGATATCTCAAAAATGAAAGAAATTATAGCTACGAAATTAAAGTTTCTGCGTAAAACCAAAGAAAATTTTACTGGAGTAAAGAAGTGACAGAAAAATAATAAGCGGTTTAAACACAAAATAAATGACAAGACTTTTGTAGAAACATCAGAGACAAGAAAATTTATAGCGGTTAGAGCAGGCATGTTTTCCAAGACATCACTAGAAACCAATCCAATTTCGGTCCTCAATAGCAGTGGCCAGCAACAGTTATCTCCGAATAGTGACGTACTTGTTAATGAAAAATCGGAACACTTACGCGCTGCCAACAGTAGCTAAGGTATGTGGTCGGTATAAACAATCAATGCGATCTGCTGCAGCGGTCGCTTCGGTGGCCTTATCTGACGTAGGATTGGTATCTTCCAAAGTTCTAAGCCACAAGCACATTTCAGTTCTCACAGAGCCGGGATCTATTTATTTGTGTCATATTCTTGTTCCTGGTGGGCAGCCAAATTCCCGTGCCTCAGATCTTTCCGTGCGGACCGGATGACGGGCCTCTGGTGGCGGGAGCACGACAGTGTTCCCGTACTCGAGGTCTTGAATCCGCGAAGGTTACCTTCTCGCCTTGCAACCCTGCTGGTTACGATCGGCAGGGAGGCTCGGAGAGCTGGTAGTGAGGAAAACCGAGGAGTCGGCCGGCGTACGCTGGTGAGGGAATTTTCCATCTTGCTCCCTGGTAGTGGGGCCGTCGGGGCCGGACTGCCCCACACACCGTTCGGTGTGTGGAGTGATCGGGCCTCGGCGGGGCCACTATCAGAGCGCGACTAAGGAACGGAATACCGGTGACTGGTTCGGTGTACACTGGGCTGGACATTGGTATCCGGGGCTATCGGGGTGAGGGATTCACGAGGGTTCAGTCCGTGTGAATTCCCTCTCTTAGACGGGCAAGGGTGGGAGATGCTCAATTGCGCATCTCCTGCCTTTGACAGGGGGCAAGTCTGGCGGGTTAGCGCGCTCGCCAGGCATTGCACGCTCCTTGTCCTGTCTGGGGTTGGACTCGAATGTTCCTGAGCCCTTCCCTAACCCGAGACGGGACCCGCCCTGTTAAATAGTGGGTCGAGCGGGGACGGCATGCGCGGGAAGTGGTCCCGTTGGGGACCGTTACCGCGCGCTGATCCCCCGCAGTGAGGGACATCGCTGAGTTTTAGTGGGTAGGCCTCTGCTCTTTGACCAGTCCCATTCTGGGGTTGGTCCGCAGGGGAGAGTCCCACATAACCCGTGGAGCTCGCGCAGGGTAAAGCGGGTATGAGGAATGCATTTCTCAGCGTCAAAAAAAAAAAATGAATTACCTTCTTCGGCGCATTTGAGATGGCTCACTATTGCCAATCGCATACTTAGATTCTATGTAAGTACTATTTCGCCGTCAGATAATTTGCAGCTGCTTGTAAACTACGTGGTTAAAGTTTACAGCTATACGTTGAATTGAAATGTCGCATGACATCGTTGTACATTTTCTAAATAGTTGTGACGTAACAAGCCCCCATTCCTCAACTTTAATGACTATTTTCTGTGCAATTTCTTGTTAAACTGAAGCAAATAAACACGTATCTAATATTTTTCCATTATCTAATATTTCATAGTTATTCACATCTCAAAATTTAGAGTGAAAATAAGCTCTAAGACTTTTTTAATTGTCAAAAGTTATTTTTTAGCTAAATTACTATTTTTTGAATAGTTATTTCGTCAGACTTTCATAAAACGAAAGAAATTCAGCCATATGTAATACATAGTACTACATAGTACTATTATTTGATTATTACTATTGATACTATTGGTATTATAGTTAATCGTTGATTACTGACATTCAACTCTATTGCATATCGATTAACGATTTTAATGTTTGACGTGTATCTGTGCTGTGTAGTGTCTCTTATTGGTCTGTGTCTGCTTTTGTTTGACGTTTTTCAAGTAAACATTGTTTTTTTTCTAATTGCGATTATCTTTAAATGCGAAAGAAGTAGAATTATAGGTTTATTATGAGCAACTCCGATAGTGACGATGAAAATCCAATCTTATATGGAACTCCTTTGGACCCTATAGAAGAAGGTATGTACCTACATAACCTAAATATTCTTCATTAACATTGTTTAAGAAATAGGTATAGTTAGTTTTATGCTGAGTATTGGTAAACAAAAATTTTTATACCTATATGTATTCTGACATAATCCTATTATTAAAGTAAAAAAATATTAGATATTATATATATTGCTTAGATCTAAATAGTTTTATCCCGTTCAATATAAAAAAAAAACTGAAACAAGGAAGACCCTCAATGCTTAGGCCTAAGACATAAAGTAAGCTCATTCTCTATATTGACTGACAATGAATCAAATTTAGGACCTCAGTGACGACTACACTGGTTTTGAACCAGTGTGCTACTCAACCATGGAGGTTGTCCCTGCTGTTTTTTCTATGGTTACCATTTCATACCTATCTATCAGGTTTAAGGAACAGTTAAATAAACCATAGATGTGCGTAACATGCTCACATTACATGTAAGGTGACCATATGGAGGCCAAAGTAACTTTTTATTCTTTTCTTTTGTGTGAAATTTGTATGGAAATCTAATTTAAACATTTGTAAATTATTAAGATGAAGTACCATCAAAACGCAAGTATCAGCAACCACCAGATCAGTATGCTGTGGACAATCATGGTAGAAGAAGGTTTCACGGTGCCTTCACAGGTGGATTCTCAGCAGGTTATGGCAACACTGTTGGCACACCGGAAGGCTGGACCCCTAGTACATTCAAGAGCTCTAAATCTAACAAAGCTTCTATTTCTGTGAGTAATTATTACAAAAATTTCCAAATATTTACCTATACAACTTCATAGGTATAAATCTAAATTAGTGTAAAATAAACAATGCAGTTGTGTTGTAAATAAGGTTAGTAGTTATATAGTCATCACATCATCATCAGGCCCTCTTGTGTTCTCTCACCAATTTATGCACAATTGTGCAATCAGAGAATTTACAAATTAATATTCCAAAGGAGAATGCTTTTTCACAAGTGTTTGTGGAATACTACTTAATAAATAATCATCATTAAGAATGCAATTTTCTCAAATCATATATAACCTTGATATTTTGAATGATTGGTAATAACTGTGCTTTAGAGTTTATTTGAAGACCTGAAATAAATTTTGTAAAAACTATTGAAGAAACGAAACAAATATTCATGAAAAGTTCCAAAATAAACATATTAATTCACAAAAGGGTATTATGCTCAATGTGGTTACAAACTTGGAACTTGTAATTAGTATTTGTTTGCAAGCAAATTATTTAAGCAAATTTATTTAATATTAACTTTAAATAATAGAGCTTGCTGCACAAGTTGATATCTCAATATTCGTCTGTTATGAAATTTTTGTTGAGTTATTGATAAATGATATTTCATTTTAAATTACTTTATCTACATTGTACCACATTATTTATGTAGCGATAAGTACTTATAGTCATAATTAACAAGTACTTACTGTTTAATAACCTAAATCTACTAAAACAAGTGTGACAACACTTCCCTCCAAGCTATGTGCAGATATTTATCTCTTAAACACAGGAAGTTTCACTACTTGCTATATTTATACTATACTGTTAATTACTTCATTCCTGGGGCATAAGAACACACAAGGATTGAGATTTCCCAAAAAAACCGTGAAGGTTTTTTTTATATATTTCTTTATTAATAGGCACAGCGTCCCGAAGACTATATGGATGAAGAGGATCGTGGAGAGTTTGGTATAGCACCACGGCATCTTCAGACCAGGAACGACTTCACCGGTCAGAAGAGGAAACACCATAGATACCACGACGGTCCTATACCTGGTAAGCTTGCCAAGAAGGTACTTATTTTTTCTATCGACGTCTTGGCAATCGACGTCCAAAGTGCGTGGCCAGAATTTATTCCACTGTATCAGCCTTTCCCACAGTGGGCGATGACGCCCCTCTTTAGGCCTGCAGCGCCCATACCCCTTATGGGCGCTACAAAGGGGGGCGGTAAGAGACCGAGAAATAGATGGGGGCGTTGTTTAGAGGCTTGGGGGGTGTGTGATTTGTAATTTCATTTAGCTAGGAGGCCTCTTAGACACCAACTGCATGAGCTCTCGACTCTCAGCTGCAACTTGTGAACATCAACTAATATTAGTTACGAGATTGCTCAAACTCGATTCGATAATTCTCTCCGCGTAGGTTATATATCTATACTGTCTTATTGAATATATAAAATAGAAATCATGTATAACGGTCGCTCTGTTTCGAAATGCAAACAAATGAAACATACTTTCGCATTTTAATAATTATTAGTACTCCTGGATAAGTAATTTTCGTAGATAGAAGACCGCGCACAATCATGTTTTAACAATTTTTTTGTTATATAACCCGAATTGAGCATTCCTGTATCAGTCGGCTGGTTCATATAATACTTGTTCTTACTTGTTTAGTATGATTAAGCGTCGAATGAGAGAAACGAGTTTATGCACGTTTTTTTATTCCTGTCAGTGCGTGCTGCTTATGCAATACTATATAAACAATGTAATATGTATTTTATTTTCATTTGCGGTATATTGCATTATTTATGGACAACATTTGGTCGCTATAAACTTAAGTGAACGACTATTTCAATAACTGCAATATGTCATCTAAGCAGGCAATAGAATCCGCAACAGCTCTCAATGTTAGAATATTTCATCAGCTTTGTATTACTAATGACGAGGATTTAACCGTTTGTTGTTTCATACTGTAGTTCGTTGGCTATCAATGACAATTGACAGTATGACAATTGTCTGATTCGATTTTACAACCTGTTTAAATCTATGATAAAGGTTTTCGAAACTAAAGATACAGAATTGCACAACAAGCTCTTTACATTAAAGAATGATGTAGCTTACATGATAGACCTGTACAAATTAACTAAATTTAATTAAAACATAAAACACGTTCACACAAATATGACGATGGATTTATTGCTGTGGCAACACTGCTTACTAAAAGGAGAATTCGTTTGAATGATACCGAACGTGGCGACTTGCGCCTGTTCTTGAGTAAATTGGAACCTGATATCGACAGACTTATTAAACAACATCAGATCCATCCTTTACATTAGTTTTTTTATATAAGAAGCAATTGTTTGTTTTGAATAAAAGATACTCTGTTTGAATACTATAAAGTTGCGTTTCAATGATAATTTTCATTGGCAGGTCTAGTCCGTAAGAGTTAACTTGAGACCTGAGCGCCGTTGTGTATTATCTACTGCGCTCAGGTTTCAAGTTAACTCTTGCGAGTTATAGTAAAAGTCTCGTTTAAAGTTAATGTTTAATCTCTGCTTATATAGCTTACAATAATGAATTAATTTTGTTTGAAGTTATTAGTTTTTACGTGGGTAAAAAATGGGAGCATAAAAAATAATTTATTCTCAAAGTGGGCAGCAGACAAAATAAGTATGGGAATCCCTGCACTATACGTAGAGTTGGACACCTTGCAATAGGCCTTCTTGACCACTATTTTTTATAGTAGAAATTGTTGTATATTGTCTGGGATCTTATTGTAGACTAGCTTTCCGCCAGCGTCTTCGCCCGCGTGATCCCTAGGGAACTGTTTATTTGGGTATCGATTCATAGCATGACACAGATATAGGGTATGTTCCGATATACACTGCGACCACTGAACAGTATGACGTCAATTTAGTATACTGGAAGCCCGTTCCTTTATAGCTAGTTATACTGGTGACTTTTTAAAACGGAACGCAGTCCAGTATACTGTTAATCCTATTTTTTGGCGCCATTTTCAAATTTGTTAATGCAAGGTGAATATAAATATAAAGATTCCCTCTTTTCAAAAGAAAATATTATAAAATTGGAAAATTGTATAAAAAAAATATTTATCCATCTTATAATAAACGTAAGTATTTTTTTTTTGTTTATTTAGAAACTTATCATTTTCTGATTCTGTTTCGACTGATCACGTGATCAAAAGCACTGCGAGCACCTTACCTCGAAATCTCCAGTGCTCACAGTACAAATATGGCGGCAATTTATGACGTCATGAATTTCCCTAGGGTACTGTAGCAGTGTACTGGCAGTCCATAACGGAACGGATTTTTCAGCAGTAAGACCACTGCGTAGTGCTTCCAGTGTATATCGGAACATACCCACAATTACAAATTGAATAGTAAACAATGATTGCTGTTGTCATGGCATAGTTTTTCATACATATATTTTTGGTATCTTGAACCGTTTTCGCAGCGCACGCAACGGAAGCGCTCAAGGATGAATAATGTTCCCCTTTTTTCCAACTTTTCCATTATTTCTTCGCTCCTAATAGATGCAGCGTGATGTTATATAGTCTAAAGCCTTCCTAATAAATGTATAAATGGTCTATTCAATACAAAAATAATTTTTCAATTCGAACCAGTAGTTCCTGAGATTAGCGCGTTCAAACAAACAAACTCTTCAGGTTTATAATATTAGTATAGATGCGCACACAAAAACCCCTGAATTTCTGTTATAGTCTAGTAATAGACAAAAAAAAATTCTAGTATTTCAAATTTATACAATTTAAATACTTTATGTAGAAAACAAATTTATATCTTCATTCCAGCTAGCGCATGTTTATCATCTAAGCTTTTCGTGATATTAGTGTACGTTTTGCTTCACTGATCCATGCACTTAGCAGGCCCATAATATTATAAATTTTTAAACAATCTCATCTCCATCCAGGAGAGCCAGTTCTAGAGCAATTATTGAAAACTGTGCACGAGACGGCTGCCGTGAGGATGCTCCGGGCAATGGGCTGGCGGCCGGGACAGGGCACTGGTGAGAGAGTCACTAGAGATGAAAAGAAAAAGAGGAAAACTCAACAACGCGTCTACGGGTGCTACATGCCACCGGAGATGAGGCAGGTCAGTATTAAGTATAATCACAAATTACTAATGCGTTGAAAACCTTGTCTTATATATATCTCAACATTAATATATGTTGGGATACTATAAAAGGAAAAAAAAAATGTTTAAAGAAAATATTTATTTTGTATAACGCGACAATAGTCCGGCGTGTCGCAAGCGGGTATATCACAGCTTGAGCTCTTACCTAGTCTTCTATTTACGGATACGATGTTTAGATGTAACAGTTGGCCGACCGAAACTATACAAAACTGTGGTTAAAACTTGCCAAAAAAAAGAAAAGCAACTCACTCACGAGTCGTCATATTTTTCATAAACTTAAGTTTTTAATTTCATTTATTTTTTCACAGAATGATGAAATCGAGTCGGACACCAATAGCTCGGATTCGGAATTCGAATACGATACACTATTCGCGCCAGATGACTATGAGCCTTATATACTACAGCGTAAGAGCGATCGTTTCGGACTCGGCTATTCTGGTTTGAGCCGCCATTCAGTGTTAGGCAGCCTTAGTGGACAATACGGAGAAGGCGCTTCGAAGAGTCATTTGGTTATGAACGATAAAGGGAGGAAGGTACCTATGAATTTAGTAAATTATTATTATGTTAAAATCTCTTCCAAATATTTTTTTATAAAAAATGCAATACAACGCCCCTGTCCTGGTCCTAGGGGTCTTCAAATGGTTGCAAGTTCCTTTGATCAAGTGGAGTGGGAGTGAGGTGGGAGACCCCGTACACAAATAAATACAGCCTGTAGCGTACTTATTTGACTGGAGGGGGGGTATACCAAATGGAGCCTGATGCCGCCCCATGGGGGTTAGTCCGATTCCGCCACTGCTACACACCGTTATAATCTCATCATAAATCCTTTTTACTGGCATACAGCCCGTTGCACAAACGTCCATTAATGTATTCATTAGTTTAAAGCGACATTACCTATACAAATTAGACATTCATTAGAGCTTAAAGACGTCATGAAACCTTAATGGACGTTTGTGAAACTGACTGTTAGTCGGACAATTAGTTTTTTACCAATACTTTTTTTTTCACAAGGTATCAATTAGAGGTCAAGCGTTCGGCGTTGGAGCATTCGAAGCGGACGACGAGGACATATATGCGACCGAGGACATGTCGCATTACGATTTTGCCATAGGTGGCGCTGCAGACAAGCCTAAAAAACCAGCGAACAAAGAGAAAGGAGCCAATGTGAGTATACAAACCAATCTTACAATCTTTATTATTTTGTAATAGAACTAGCTTGCAGCGGCTTCGCCCGCGTGGCGCCTAGGGAACTGTTTATTTGTACATTGATTGATATCATGACACGAATGTAATTACAATGACAAATTTAATAGTAAACAATGGTTACTATGGTAACGTTTTAATTCCCTATATAAACTTCCACTCCCATTTTCATTCGTTTATTTGCCGGTTTCGGAATAAAATATAGCCTATGTTTACCGCATATAATGTAGCTTCCCGTAGGTGAAAGAGTTTTTAAAATCGGTTCAGTAGTTTCGGAGATCAATCGAATCTATAGCCTTTATAATATTATTTTAGCATAGACAGTGACAAATCAAATAGTAAATAAAAGTGAATAAAATTATTATTCCCTATAAAAAAAAATTCAACCAAATTTTGATACTAATAACTGGTAGTTGTTGGGATATAATATTTACATTTTTATCTTCTGAAAACTTTTATCTTCCCTGAGTCTTAAGTTACTCCAATACCAATTTTCATAGCTATATAAGTCCAAAAACAAAGAATTTTTATACAAACGCTGTCACCCTATTTAACCCTCTGCGGTTGGAAATAAAAAATAAAACTTGTTTGTACATTTCTGAAAGTATCCAACAATTTTCAAATCCCTATGACAAAATTGTCAGTCAATCTTAAACTTCTACCCACAGTACAACTACGTAAATTAGTTGAAGTTAAACAAAAGCTTCTAAAAAGGAGAATTTTCCTGTTCCATCATCAGAACAAGTCCATTCCATATTAATATTGCTTGTTCATACAAATTATGTTTGTCACTCGAAAGCTTGGCTTTTAATTATTAGATTTTGACCTACACTAATTAACACGGCGAGTTTAATAAAAAGCTTTTTAAAAGGAAAGTATAGATATTATCTTCTTATATGTAAAGACGAATTTACATTTAATTCGTTTTACGACACTTAACTAGTTTCTAGTGAAATTAGTGCAACTAATTTCACCCAAATTTGCATGGCGAAACTAATGTCGCGACACTGTCTGCATATAGTAAAGTTTTAATTTTCTCGGAGCCAGTGTCTCAGAGATACTTTTGATATTTGCGAGACTAGCTTCAAATGTTAATAGTCGTCTTTATAGTTACACATTCCTACAGGTTCTAGAAGGTTTCGCAAAGGCGAGCAAGCCTTTGCCCCCCGTGCCGTCATATCCGCCGCCTGCGTTACCGCGCGACTATAGACCGGTTGAAGCTGGAACTAGAAGATCCAGGTTCGAACCTTCTGCAGCACCACAGAGAGACCAAGGTATATATAAGGGAACATATAACGATATAAATAAAAGATAATACAAAGATATAAACAAGCTAAGAAAGGCGCCATCTAGGAATAAGATTTATAATTAATAAGCATATCTTTATAACTAATTTGACAGCTGTCGCCACAGTGACGTCACACCATGGTGGATCGTGTTTTAAGTCACATGACACAGACGCAATCTCTACTTTTAATTTTTCGATAACTTATTATCGTGGGATTTTAAGACTTAAATACAGATCAAAATTTGTGTAATTTTGTAACTTATTTTACAATAGATAACAGAAGTAAATTTATCATAATATAATATTACAGGACTAACAATTACAGTTAAGTCAAATTATAATCAAGTTCGTAATGAAAATGTTTAAAGAATTGGCACTATTATTATTGAAATCATCTTAAGTTTTTTTTTTAATTATTTTCTTTTATTTATATAAGGTCTCGGTCGCCACGAACTGACAGCAGAAGCTAGAGGTGCCTTACTAGGTGAAGAACCCGTGCCTAAATTACCAGAGCCACCACAAATCGTTCAAAACGTTCCAGAAGACCCTATAGCTAAAATCACAGGCCGCAATGTAAATTTCATTACAACAAACGACATCAAAGAAACTAAAGAATTAGATTTTATCCCTTTAAAGTGTGGGAATGAAATCCCGAAGACTTTCAGGCCTTTTATGAGTGTACCTGATAAACAAGCGCGATACGAGAGGTATTTGAATGATAAAGAGGCGTTTCTGAGAGAGCAGGACGGCAACATGGACGCGGTCCGTGAGTGGGAGAGAGACAGAGAGTTGGTCGAGTTCGAGCAAGCGGCTAAGTTGTATAAGCCGTTGACTGGATTCATGGGTGACAGGTGATTGATTTTCACACGTTTTTATTTAACTTGTTGAGTATGGTCAGCAAATTTTGTAACTGAATTTTAAAGTTATACTTAAATGATCAAGTTTAAATTATGCATATAGGTTTAATTTAGATTACTGGCATTCCACGTGATCTGCTAACCTTTATAAAATTATTATTATATAAAAATAATTGAAAACAAATATGATGCAAAAAAAAAGGTTAAATATATTTAAAAACAAATATCGCTATAGAGTTGTGTCCACGTAAATATTTTTAAAAATTATAACTTATGATAATTATTATTTTCTACGCGAATATAATTTTTAAAAAGTGCAGAAATAAAGCTGTATATTCAAAATACTCAAACGCAATGCTATCTCTAAGAGCTGTTGTCGTTACAAAAAGTTAACATCGATGCCAGAACATCAATGTATTATGTAGCAAAATATGCAACAGATTATAGTTTAAATGATAATTTAGACCTTTATTATTATCTCACCGATAATCCCAACCACAAATAAACTAAATGATTATTAAAAGGATCGATAATATATAAAATCCAATATATTAATCGATTTTTAGTATTACATTAAATAAATAATATTTAAAAAGAAAATCTTCTATATAGATTCACACATGCGTCTGAACCAGACGACGGCGCTACGAATCCACTGTGCGCTGTTGCCAAAAGCAATAATAGTTACGGTCTGGCAACACCAGAGCAGGTGGAGGCCGCGAGGAGGGGTGTTTATGGCGTGATGACGAGGAAAGAAACACCGTGGAGACCGGAGTCGTTAGTCTGCAAGAGATTCAATATACCTGATCCAAATGTGAGGTAAATATCATCGTTAGTTCGTTAGTATATAAAAAAAAAATCATCACTTTGGATATATGATTGTCGAAGGAGGCGAAAGAAAGAAATTTACGAACTCTTTGTATGAAAACACATGAACACAACATATGTGAAGAAAATTCGTTGAAAATGCAAAAAGAAAATGTATTCCGTAAAGTTAGTCCGTATTCTTTATTTATATCCTTTGTGTTTAGATATACATTTCTCCTAATAAAAGTTGGCTTTCGTAGCAATCACCATTGACTGCCCGAGATGGAATTCGAAGCTCAAACCTATTACATTCACTTACAGGGGCGTCTAACTAAAGCTGACCAAGACTTTAGAAAGATTTTCAACTTTCTCGAGCTTTTAACACTTTTGTTGTCGATTGAAGCTGCCCTCCCCCTCTAATGTATTGTTTACCATTTTAATAATTACTGCTTACATATCGGTGATCTTTGAGGTTACATATTGGGATCGGGTTCTTGAGAAAGTGATAATTTATTTTCTACATTTCCTTCGATTTAGATAGTTGTATAGATTTCTATAAAACAAGAGAATTAACTATTTTACTAGGAATTTTAAGTAACACACATGATTACCTATCCAAGAAGATGCTTCAATTTGTATAATGTACCTTTATTTTTCAGGACTGAAACTAAATCTGAGGAGAAGCCAAAAGTTTCATATTCAATATTCTCATATATGGAGTCGTCTGTCCACGACAAAGACAGTTTCGCGAAAGAACAGCAAAAATTCAGCGGCTCCAAATCACTAAACCTCCCAAAGCCAACACACAACACTTTACCGCAAAACAAAACTAGTATTAGTGACGAACGTAGTAAAGTTGATAATCCAACACCATCCACCAGTGGTGACAATACAAATTTCATGAAAAGAATGACGGTAGCAGAATTATTTATGAAGGAATCGGAAAAAGATTTAAAAAGCAATGAAAATGTCAATGACACTATCGAGAAATTCGATAAAATGGATTTGTATAAGGCTATATTTCTCAGCGACAGTGAAAATGAAGATGAGGGTACACCAACTAGTACAGTAAACACAAATCTGAAAGAACCAGATGATTTCATAGACAAACCGAAAAATTTAGAAAGGAATACTTCGCCGCCCCGAGGTATATTTGCGAATATAGATTTTGATGAATTAAATTCGTGGCGAAGAAATATTCTTACAGATAAATGTGAAAAAGACGACAGTAAAAAAGATAGCAAAAGTAATAAAGAAGTTAAGGATACGGAAGCTAACGTAGAAGCTGATGTCTATGGTCCGAAAATTCCAGAAAATCTACAGAAAAGATTGGAAGGTGAGTCAGGGCAAGATGGCGACTTTCGACCAATATTTCGGCGCAAGTCTGATATTGCTAAAGATGTTGTTGAAATAAATACTTCTAGTTCAGATTCGTGGGTTGATATTAAGGAAGTAACAGCCAAAAAGCAAAAGAAAAAGAAAAAGAAACATAAATCTAAACATAAAAAAGGCAAGCATAAGAAAAAAGACAAGTGAATGTAGTTTGTAGAAAGATTTATTAAAATTTATTGTTTTTTTCCACTGTAGTTTTTAATTATCCTTTGAGATTCATTCTAATTATTAATTATTTAATTCATTAAAGAGTAGTCCTTTAAGTTTGTGCTTAAATCATCACAACGAGCTTCACAAAACTGTATTTAGTTCACTTAGGCTACGTTTGAATGGACATGTTTTTAATGTCTTCATAAGAAAAATATTCATACATTGAAAAAAATGGTAGCAGAAAATCTGATCTCTCGGAGCTGGGCTGGGAGAAAGGAGTACTATCAAAATTATGCCCCGGTTAAAAAAAACCAAAGATCTGGGACTGGTTTAGGTTAATAAATATCATAAGGTATTTAATAGGCAGCCTCAACAAAGTGTTGTAGTGCGTTTAATTAAATAAAACTGAAATTAATAAAATAAAAAATAACATCTTTATTATCTTTTCTAGTTGGATGAACATTTATACTATGACAACGCAGTCGGCAGTCAAAAAAACTTTTTCAATGCAGTTGCTCATAAAGCGCTATTTTTTTAATCCATTGTAAAAACCGAAAGTGAGTCTTTAAACACGTATTAAATAAAAATGTACTGAAATCCTTTACTGCACACGTGCTTAAAAGTATTTTTTAATTTTTTTTTGGCCGATCACCAAAGAAATTAAAAAAAAAATTAAAATATGTCAAACTTTAGAGGCAAAAAAATAGAAAAGTATTTCAAGGAGCCTAGAACGAATATTTTCAAATAAAAATGTATGACACGAAAACATGTTCAAATATCACGTTTAGTTTTAACAAATAATTTTTACCTTTAATACATACCTACTTAGTTTTATTAACCTATATATTTGTTTTATTTCCTCGCAAAAAGCATTGCAAAATGTTGTAAGAAACTTGCCAATTAAAACTCTCGCTACGCTCGTGTTTTCAATTTGGCCCTTATTTGTAAAACCTTACTTTCCGCACTCGTATCTTAAATAACTATTATTTGTGAGCACTAAAACCTAAAAAAAAAAGTTTTATTTTCGCATAAATAAAAGTTTGTTTTTAAAAAGCTCTTCTTTCATTATATATTTTTTTATTCTGATTAGCATCTGTAAAATGATAATAAAAATTTATTTTCTCATCACACAGAATAATGTCAATTGTAAGGTGTTTGTCTTAATATGTTGTTGTTCTCAAAAAGACAGGTCTAAAAGCCCAAACACGATGCAGTTGCGTTATTTCATTGCTAAGTTCCTATGACCGCCTTCCAGCTCCATCATAACCGAGGCCTCTAGATTTTTTTTTTTAACTACACCTGAACATATATGAACGAGTGGCTCGTACTGTATAGCTTCAAGTAACTGGCATTTCAAGGTGATGCCATCCTGGTTCGATTTCCGATAGTCATATAGAAAATAGATTGTTTTATATTATCTATTTATCATAATTATTGACGTTTTAACTGTATATATATAAATAGCCTTTTAATTGGTTTAATTCTAATTTATCTAGATTGATACATGGTTTGTTAATCATTCTGTTACTGTAACGTATCATTGGTGTATTTTGTTAGGAGTACTTTTAAACAATGAAATCAAGAGGAGATGTCAATAACGAATATATTGAAGACCATAGGCCCTAATAAAGATCCTCGAGATACTCTTGAAGGACTAGTCATCGGTATAGGGACCACATAGAAAAACTGCCTAAAAATTTCAATAATCTTAATACATCATGGTCCAATAGATACTTCAATCATATCTATCGTTATGATTACCAGACGTTAATAGAGTTGTTTTATAATTTCAAATACTACAACCTTAAACTTCTTCATCGTACTTTTGACAAACAACTAAAAATGCCATTTGGCGTACTTCGCCATACGTCGAGTATTTATTAACTTATATAAGGATATTTAATATAAACGGAATATTTAATATTCACCTCGTATTAAATAAACATTATAATATGCGTAGTATTGACTTTTGAAAAACAACCATATTTATCATCGAATTATCTACGCAATTTTAAATAACACTGCGTCATATATATGGAATAATAAAATTCCACGAACGCTATTCCAAAATACTACAATTGCGTAAAAGTTGAATTCTATTGTAAATAAACATTCTTACACAATACATTTTTGCGTGGGTAATCTCGACTCTATTCAAGGTTGTTGCGATGGCGGGAAACTAAGCTCTAATAATTCCCATTGGTTAAGAATTTGCCGTAGGAACGGTTATAAATATATTGTGTCGCAACTATATACTTATCATAATGAGTATTGATGGCGTTCTAGAATTCTATTATAGGTTTTGGCTCCAGACTAGCAGTCTGAGGAGAAATAGTGATTCAGAGCAAACAAATCATGTGAAATGTACGCCTTTTTTTTTGAAACAGTCTTTATAGAAGTAGAAGCTATACATTGAGTTTTCGTGTACAAGGTTGAAAGGAGGTTAAGCAATCAAGACTGCCGATGGAAGAGAAATAAAATTACTAAGTAAAATATCGAAATTGTACCAACTTCGATGTAAAACGAAGGTAAACTGAGAAAAAATAATATAATTCCTCTTATATATGAAAGAGATGACATGCTACAACACTGTAGTCCGATAGTAGAAAGAGAGCACTTTAGATTAATACATAATGGGAGAAAGAGACGCCTCTAAAACAGTGTTCACGTTCACAACATAAATTTTCCTCTACGGTTGGTACGCATGCGTCATTACTTTAACCAGGGCCGTCCTGAGTGTTAATAATATCAATAGGAAATGTATTTTTCTTATTAGTTCTAAAGTTTATTCCTTGACAGCTAAATTGTACATAATTGAAAATGACAGTTTTTTTTGCATCCCTTACACATAAATCCGTAAGAATAACAATATTTCGTTAAAATACAAATACATATAATAATAAATAATTTTATCAAGTTGCCACTTTATTTTAAAGTTATTATTATTTTTAAGTGGTATTTTGATCTGGATTATGCTAAAGGTATATTAGTTACCGAAATCAAATAAGATGTGGCTACAGTACTTTCCTGATTTCTCCATGACAACCCTTCCGAATTTCTTTCATGTATAAAACTTAATTATATATTAAAACTCAATAAACAACTCTTATTCTAAGTATTTGTACTTTTTCGTATTTGTATTAATATCTATGTTTGCAAATTTTAGTTTTTTAATATGTTAGTTAAAAGGAACGGAAATTACTATCTTTGGTCCATTCGTTTCCTGTAAAAATCAACTTTTGCTAGAATCGCCCTTTAGTGAGGTGCTTTTTTAGTCCTTTTTTTAAATACTTCCTCATTTCGAGTGGTCAGTGGACTGCAGTATTATCATTAAAAACAAAAAAAAAATACCCTGATGCAGGGACATAGAGACATAAGAATCACTTAAAGAGGTAAAAAATGAGTATTATCAAATAACTGAATAATGAAACATTTAATATTCAGCAAGGCGATGCCCCCTTATATTGTAAACATCGCAGAACACATCGCGCCATTTATGGTATTCTGCTACTCATTTTTAATAAAACAATTATCATTTTTTTATTTAGAATGTCATCTAACTTATTGAATTTCACTTTCATGATTACTAATGCTTACGGAATACCAAGTAGCAGTTTATCGATACCTGCAATATTAAGTGTCAAAATTGTAAACCATTGATAGAAAATACGAATAATTTTGATTCATTTGAGTTGCTCACTGAAACCTACTCTACTGTCAAACAATAGAACTGAAGTTGCAATTCTAAATGCGACCCTGGCAGAATACAATCAGCTGTTTGTAATGACAGCTCTGACAAATACAAAATGGTTGAAAACTAAAGTTGGCAAACAAAGAAAGTCAGCGTAATAAAGCATTTTATATCGAAAAAACTTTATTTTTAAGTGAAAGTCAGTTAGTTTAGTGTGTATTAAGTGTCTAGTGCACGATGTTGGATTTGGAAATCGTTCCTGAGCGTTCTCTAGGCTGTGATGCCTGGGAGTTCGTACTAGGTAAAGCTACTACTGTTTATTTCTAATGTCAAGATTTTGCGTTGTATTTCTATGGCTTGAAGCTTACGCAATTATGTTTTTGTTGCATACAACGATTTATAAATGAATCTAGAATGCTCATCCGGTCACTATTTCTAGTGATCGTGTGGTCTACATTGATTTTTTTACACGAAGTGACACTGCCTAGCCTTTGTGTTCGAGTTTTTGTTTATTTTTTTCTGCTAATCTTGACCGTGAAATCGTTCGGGGTGCATTTTTTATGCCTAACAATTTCGTCAGATTTGTTGACAACAACATCTTATATTGATCATACTTGCATGTTCAATAATACATAATATTTTTTTATTATAAGTTCAATTTGTTATTTAACTATAAAATTTTGTAGTGGCAATAATGACAGTACAAATCTTGAATGACTATAATATAACTACTATTTACACATTAAAATATCAGTGAAATCAAGTTCATAAGGTCAAACTACCTACTTTTATTTTTTTTAATAAGTAACAAGAGGAAAATTAGTACTTTATGGGAATGGAAATAATTAAAAAGACTCTTAATATTGTTTTGTGGTTGCTGCATTAAATTATAATAAGTTTAGTTTAAATGTATAATTAAATTTTGTAGTAAAATTATCATTATACATTACTTAACTAATAAAATAAATAATTATAAGCAAATGGACAACCTCCATAGTCAACTGGTTCACACACTGGTTTCAAGATGTCACTGTCTCTTAGGTCTCGGGTTTAATTTATGGGTTGGGTCAATGTAAAAATTTACTTTTCTACATTATCTTGGGCCTCAGTTTTGTTGTTACTTTGTTGTCTCAGATAGTCTACAGTATGAGGGCTTCCACTTCTAATGTTGAAATCTGAACAATGGATGTGATGTTGTCTAATATTTTCATAACATTGAAAAATAGTATTTTGTTAATACCTGATTGAATTCTATTGACAGTTAATCAACTTTTATTAGTGTTGTTGTTTTTGCAAATAAAAAATAGGGTTTTTAATTTTTGTGGTTATATTTGCCAGAATATATTAGGAATTAAATCATCACACAAAAAGAAATGATCTCATTTGTTTATGTTGTGCAACAAATTATTTATTTATTTGTCCACTTTATAGCTAATAGTTATTTAATAGATTTATTCAGTTGTTTTTCATAAATTTTTGTATTCACAATGCTTTACTACTGTATCGGTTTTTGTATACCCACATAATCCATTTTAATAAAAACTAATATTGACCATCATGTGGGTGGGTGTGAACAATATGAAAACATTAAGAGATGCTTTGATTAAAGCCTTATCTTTTTGCCATCCTCTTATGAGAGGGAAGTAAAAAGCGAGGTACTTTAACTTTTGCTTATATTTATAGATATGAATATGTTTCTGTATGAAAGTAGGAACTTGTTTCTAATGGTTCATTAAAACCAGTCAGTATGTCAGGCCAAAGCAAATGTTTGTGATCAACATGTCGCCATTTCTGAGGTCTTGAATTTGATTCCCGGTTGGGTCAATATAATTTTTTTAAATATATTATATTGAGTTTAGGTGTTGTGGATTGTTGTTTCGGATTCCTATAATACAAGTGCTGCAAGTTGCTTAATTTGGGATTTAAGCAATGCATGTGATCTAATATTTATTTCTTTGAGACTTGCTAAGTAGTAGGGAGAGCTAGCAAAAAAAAATTATATCTTTATTTATGGCACTCTAAGATGGAACATTTATATCTTTATTATTATTAGTGAAATAAAACAATGTAAAGCCCAGCCGTCTGAAAGATAAGAGGTTGTTGTCGCTAATATGTGGTGATGTTAAAGTCAAACTAAGCATAAAGTAAATAATGTATTTTAGAGTAACAATTATATTTTGTTTTCGCTTTGTACACATTGCTACAAGTCCGGTAACCACAATATGTCAAATTTCCGCAATGGATTTTGAACATTATCCAGAATTATTAAGGTTAAAACTGAAGCAGACATATTTATCAGTTTTGTATAGCCTGACGTGCTTATACCATGATCGGGATGCTTGCAACAGTGCCAAAATATTAGTAACTAAAGTATAATCCCGGCACTAAATGGGAAATAAAGATGACTTCCAGCCCAAGCTTTGGACAGAAATATGTTTATTGGGCCTTTTTATTGCTTATGTTAGAAATAATATTTTATGCATCCCTAATTTAATCTATCCAAAATGGGAAAAATAAGCAAAAAGAATTAGGAAGGTACACTAGAGTGAGCATACATACATTCAAGATCAATGAGATATGATCTTTATGCAGAATTTATCGTGTAATGCTTGCAAATTGCATCAAAATCTGTCAAAATTTTATTTGATATTTTTTGGCATTTGAATGTGTAGTGTAGTTGGGGTTTATAATTTTAGAGCTATTATTTTCTAGAAGTTGGCAACACTGTAAATTGTTATTATTTTACTAAAATTATTATTCTCGTGTTATAACTAAAGTGTGTAGGAAACTTTTTATTCAGTAACTTTTTGCCATATTGTAGACAGGGACATGATCAAAGGATGCATTAACACCTCTCAGCCAAACTCTAATTTTTGCTGAGTGGCAAAAAAAATGTGAAGTCTAGCGTTATCATAAAGAAAATCCACACCCCTTCTATTGATTAATTCTGGTCTTTTCTCAAATTCTTGCTTTAATCACATCAGTTGTTCACAGTAGAGTTCAGAATGGTCCTGACTGGCGGTAACAGCTCGTAATAATGCCTTTCCAATCCCTGAAAACACATATCACCTTGTTGCGGGTTAACCCGGATTTCGCCACAGTCTGTGAAGCTTGACTGACCTTTGACCACGACCTTTTTAGCACGTTCTTGTCCTACGTGATCCACCAGTTATCATCTACTTCAAAAATGGTTCGATATCATTAGGCCGTAATAAAGAATCACAAATGAGCACACAACGAGGTTCATTAGGTTTCTTTCAATGAGCACGTGAGATACCCAAATATCCAACTTTTTGTGTACCCAACTTTTGTTAAACGAGCCAAATTTTTTTGTGGTTAATCCCTAGTTCTTCACCTACATCGTAACTAAAGATATTTTGCTCCACTTTTTAAAAAATGGCATTCATTTTAACCGTAACAGGCGACCAGAGCTACCTGCATCTTTGACATCAATATTTCCGGACTAAAAAGCTTAAATAAAATTTGTGCTACCCTCACAAAAACTGCACAAAGTTCATAAATGTCACATTTTTTTTCGCGGTTGGCATTGCAATTTTGCCTTTTTTGTAATAAAATTTTAAAATGTATTGAAGTTCTTCATTAGATTCTCTCATTTTGACGTTAAGAAAAATAAATGAAAAACATACATTTTCTTAATTGGAATTCGGAGTAATTTTCTCTAAAATTTAAACTTTTAAATGATATTGAAACCAGCCAGATACAAATGGTATAGACGGGAAGAATTTATTACAAGTTTATTATGCATACTATATGCGAAAAGACTTTTTCCCCAACCTATTAGTACGGTTGGCAACGCTATAGCTCACGTTTCATGAACTTTTTGACTTACCGTCTATGAAAGACAAGAGATCTGCAAAATAAGGTCTGAATTTCATTTATCAGAGTTAGGATTAACTTTACATTAACACAATGCATGATACAATGAATAATTGATAACTTCAATGACATAATAAAACCATTGTTTGTTCTAAATATCATTTATTATGTATGTACTTATAATGGTTTTGTCGATTCGCTTGGTATCGATATCGTTCAGGCCTGCTTTGTTTCTAGATAATTAGACTTTACCTATTTAATGGCATGAATTATAAAAAAAATGTTGTACACAATTTTTTTATAAATGTTTTAAGAAAAAGAAATTTTGAGTAAAATTGTGAAACACGATTCAATGAACCTAGGAAGGGTGTGAAATTGTAAATACGCAAAAGAATAAAAATTCACTACACAATGTCAACCGATAGTCTGATAGGCAGAACACGTGTAGTTTGGTACTGGATTTATGAGGGTATACGCCAACAATATTTCAAATTTCCACAATGGACTTTGACCTCTACTTTTAATGTATTCAGGTTTATAATCGAATGGGGAAATTTGCCAGTTTTGTATCACCTGACGTGCTGTTGCCTGTACTATAAAGATATTACAACTAACGCGACTTGATTTGAGATGGGTAATCATCTGTCAGGAGACGAGTCGGCTAGGTCTAGGACAAGGGTGTCCTAGAACCTTGGACGAGCCAAAAGCTACAGTCAACAAAATTTCATAGCTTTTAAAAAATCATTGAAAGATTTTGATTGTTATTTAAAATAAATCACTTTGCATAACTGTTAATCATAGTCAGTAATCTCAATAGTATTATATGTGGATAGATTACAAGATTTAAAAGGTTTCGATAGTAAAATATTTTTTGTAAATGGAATTTGAGAGCCAACTTCATATAGAAAGCCCCAGGTAGCCTACCCCAGCACGCGTAGCATGACAAACTCGAGAAACACTTTGTCTACACCCATTTGTCAGTTTCTCGGGTCAAGAGTGAGATATAGTATGGGTGCATCCGAGAAAAGTGTCATTTGAGTGTAGACAAAACGTTCTTGAGTTCGTCGTGCTACGCGTGCTGGACTAGTGCAATTGGCGCGTAGTTCAAAATCTGGCAAATATTTAGCCGCTGATTTGCAGCTTCAATGCAGCGCAGCGTCGCGCTTCAATTACATAAAGCTTATGTCACGTTTGTTTACATTGTTGTGTTATCAATTCTTAAAAACGTCACATCTACGATTACCTACGCACAATCACATTGATTACGATAAACAATTTGCAGAATATTGACGTCATATAGACTACATTATGGTTGTCGAGTTGTTGCTTTTTCACTACATAGTGTAACTACGTAGTCCCTATCAGTGTAATAAATAAGGTTTAGCGTCAGAGTAAATTAACGCTAAAATTGCAATTTTAGTTTATCCAAATTCAAACTATACATAGAATAAGTAAACCTACTTCCTTTTAGGAGTAAATATTACTCCCGTAGAACTTGGTACTAGGTTAACCTCTGCTAAATCTCTGAATAATAATATGAATTTTGCCTTAATACTGCACGACTGCACTTAGTGCAGTCTTTGCGTAAATTTACTGCAACACTAAACCTTGTTTATTAATAGCACTGTATAATTTCTGCGTCTGCGTTGGATTTCGATTCACTGTTGGATTGGAGAAAAGGGAATATTACGGAGAGGCCGGCGTAGGTGGCAACACTAGCACAAGAAGTAACCAAACTTTTTCGAACATTTCATTTTTTTGGAAACGAATAATTCTCTTCCTTCTTACATACTCGTAAATATGCAGCAATGACATAAAGACAAGACATGCTATTGGATAAAATTAATTTCTCTTTAATTTTATTTAAAATATATATTATGCTCACTATTACTTTACTTTTGGTCACAATTCTGTAAATTACGTTTGACGTTTATAAAAAAAAATTGACGTTTACTATAAATTGGCGACAGAAACTTGCAGTAATACGTCCTATTCTCTTCTATAAGAAGATTCATCAAGTGGGGCTGGATCGCTAGTGTAATACAAAATTTTTAAAATTCAGCTTAAGTTTAGGATAATTCCGTACACTTGTTTGTTGTCCTTTTACTACTTCTTGAGCAATCAATCATGATAATTACTTATGTACTGAAATAAATAGGTCGATTGGCACAAGTACTATTATCTATGCTTCTTAATGTCTATGTAATATTATTCTTCTTCAAATGTCTATTGTAATCCAGCTTTCATGCATGTTTACATTGACAACCCTACGGTATACAATGTATCGTACTATATCTAACATGTGCAATGCTTGCCACTGATAAGGTTTTTTAGGCACGTGTAAAGAAAGTTTGTTATTGACCTTCAGCGTTCAAAATAATTGAAAAACACACCTGTTATTGCCTTGTGAATTGAAAAATTCACCTATTACTATATATATGCTTTAAACATATAGATTGCCTAAACATATGTTAATTCGGTAGTATGTTGTTTAAATATGATAAAATACATTTCGATTTTTCTCTCTCTCACATTTAGATTCGCTCCAAAATAAGACTCACTTTTCAGATCAATGTTGCAAATGTTTTAGTAAGTTATCTATTCCTTACAAACTACTAATTTATAAAAACGTATGAAATTCGTGCATAGAGTTTTAGTTGGCATACGTAAAAGACAAATTTGAGACACCCCGGTCGACTTATCCACCTCTTTTAGGGAATATTCGAGGTTCGATATTAATACTCTGCAGTGCTTTTGATTTAATAAATTATGCCTCTTGTTTCAGGGATGCATTTCTCTCAAGCTGTGGCCATAATACAGAGTCAAGTGGGAACAATAAGAGGAGTACAAGTGTTATATAGTGATCAGGTAAGAATGGATAAACCGGATATGGGATATTTTACGTTTTCTTCTTTTTCTACATCTTTGTCCAGTATTGGACATATGCCTTCCCCAACTCCTTCCAGGTGTGCGACCGTCTAACTCTCTGGTTATGATGATATTTCGTTTCCTGTTACTACTTTGACATGTCTTTTGGTGGATAAATTTGGGATAAATACCGAGTTGTGTAACACTGTTATCAAATCTATAATCATCATTCGTTCGTTCGTCGTTACTAAAGTGCACGTTAAAGTTGTAAAATAAAATATAAACCTATCTCTCTAGCCATGATACTATGGCTATAATCATGGCTATAAAGTTACGCGGTCGCTCTGCAGAGTATGACCAGGTTGTTTCACTTATCCAGAATTTGCCGGCTGCTTGAACAATATTATCGAAGCATCTCGCTTTCGTTGTCCCTGGTTTCCTGTTGGGTACCTCATTGTTCGTGTCAGTCACGAAGAAATATCCAGAACATAGATCTTCCCGTAGACTCTTCAAGTAATTTTGCGTTACTGTTCTTGCACTGACAATGCTACATTATTAAGATGGAAGTCATCTGTAATCTTGGATCAGTAAAACTAAGATTTCTGAGACTTAGCTTTCTTTCGCCTGCATGTGTACTTCTCAAGTCTTTCGACACATATGTACTATTTTATATAGTCGTACCACAGATATTATAATTCTATACCAATTTATTGTATAAAAAAAATTGGGAGAAAATAAAGTTTTGGTGTCCATTTAAAGCTGACGTTGGCTGAACAGTCCGCTTAAATATCCCCATTTCTTTGCTTATTTACCGAGGCAATCGAGGGCAGTAGCAAGGACTACTTCCGTTGAAATGTGATAATGGAGTTGTAACAGCATTTTTAAATTATATTTTTTAGTTTGAGAGATATTACTAGTAATTTTAAATTCAAGTCCCAGTATGATTTTTATTTTGGGCATTGGAATATATGATCAGTGCTCACTGTCTGAAGATGATACTAGATTTGATATTGATTTGTTTCCAGAACCCGTTATCCGTGGACCTAGTAATAAACATGCCCCAAGATGGCGTCCGGTTAATATTCGACCCGGTCGCGCAGCGGCTCAAGATCATAGAAATATACAACATGAAATTAGTTAAGCTTAGATATTGGTAAGTACTTCCGGTTACTTATTTATTTATTTAAATACCGCTTATAGTTTCTTCCCTAGCTATAGGAACATCATTGAATTGAGTTTGAAAGAAACCCCTATCCATAAACAATCTGTCGATCCAGTATAGATTTTTCAAGAAAATAAAGCAAAGGAATCGTCTCTTTTTCGGTCACATCATATATATCTCATAGCTTCACTCAGACTTATTTATTTCATTTTTATCCATTAATTTATTTACAATGTGAATCAATATAGCATTAGTTTTTCGAAAAAAAATAACGTATAGTATTATATAACGCTTCCTATAACTTCCCAGGATAGGTTGTAAAGAAAAATCATAAAATATATAGGACAAGCTTTCTTGTCGCGGCTTCGTTGTACACATGGAATTTGGTTATTATCGCCCTTCGCCTTTTCGTCCATTATATAAGATCAGTAGTTTAGGCGGGAGAACGTAGCAGAGACACATACAGAGTTCCATTCGGCATTTATAATATAAGTATTGGATTATATTAGCGTTCCAATGGTGTTATTTAATTTTTACTGCATACCTGTTAGATATAATTTGATCGTTCAAATCGCAATATTTGTAATAGAATTATCTGATATGCTTATAATAAAAAATGCTTAAAAAATGCACTCTGTCCTTGGCACTCTGAGATGGGGCTCCATGACCCATGATCCATGACCCTTCGCAATCCGGGCGACTGGTTGGAGTCCCATCTCAGAGTGCCAGGGACAAAGTGCATTTTTTAAGCATTTTTCAGTATCGCATTGTGAATGCAAAATTTATCAAATATAATTAATTATAATTCTATCATTGATACAGATAATAAGTTCAGAAGTTGTTATCCTTTCCATACTGCGCAAAGGTCATTAATACAGTGCTGGTTTTTGTTTGTATATGAATCGTTGTAACACTAGTAATATTTTTTATTTTGATTTAAATTTGCGGAAGGAATAAATTATTAAATATAAGAGCGACAGCGATATTTGCATTTAATTGACTCTAACGAAATCGAAGCCAATATAGTTTAAGTCAGAGATTAGTAACATGCGGCTAGCAAATTCTATTTACAAAAAAAAATTGAATGTCGAATCTCTATATCGTGTAATCGAGCCACGATTGAATTGAATACCCGTATAGCACAATTCAGATAGATACATTGAGCAAGTATAACCATAACCAGTATGACTGAGAGATGTATATTTCAAGTTGTTGATTTCTATTATAATCTTAAATGTTATATAGAATAAATAATAATACGAGTGATAATAAAAAAATAATAATAAACTATACTCTTTAAAAATCTGTGAAATTTTGTAAATTGTAGAATTAAGCTACTCCGTCTCATAGGTTGCCGACCTCTGATTTAGAGATTTTTAGGCTAAAACGGGACTTTATAATATCGATAGCTTAAGGTAAGATAAATAAGTGTTGTTACGCTTAGACGCCTAAACAACTGAACCCATCTAAATGGAAATTAATATATTAAATAGAAAATTAATATAGTAAATAGACTTAACTTTAAGAAAGGATATAGGCTACATTTTATCGCGAAAAATAGGGGATGAAAGTTTGCCTGGAAATTTGTCATTATCAAATTTTTTTTAGACAATTGATAAGTATAGATAAATATTTGACAACAGAAGTAATAATAAAGAATAAACAGAAGATTAACAAAAGTAATTAAGTGACACTCAGTCTTCTTCGCATTTAATAAAATTTTAAATGTATATTTGTGTCATTAATAAATTTAAAAAAAAGAAGTATTCTAAAGAAATAATATTTCTGCTCAAAGAAACTACACCACGCGTATAAAATTATGCCTATATATAATACAGTCAACTGATCTCGTAAAGTTCATTTAGCATATTAATTCTCCGCTTACATGGCACTAATTTCGATTTATATACGAAATAGCGCTACCGATTGGTCTATCTCTGTAATCGCTGAAAGTTATTTTTACAAAACTTCGAAAAAAATAGCACGTTTAAAAATTTAAACATCAAGTACTAGACCATTATCAGTAATTTTATTCTAATGTCACAGATATTTTTAGCTATTGTATGTGAATAATGCTGTTCCTAAATGAGTAAGGGTATAAGTTTTTACATCTGATAGTAGTCATCCGATAGTAGTAAAAAAAATGCTTTCGTCTTGCCATAATTTATTATGGTTTATGTAAAACGATCAGATCATTATTTAGATACCTTTCTACGTCTTCGAACGGAATTACCGATGTTCCAAAAATCTCATCGTACCTAGCGTTAGTGACGTGTAGCTTCAAAGAGAGCTGTCCTACACTGCGCCGCTCCGATCAGGAAAAAAACGGACAAGTGCACAAGCTACTCATCCGGGTTTTTCATGTCATTCCGGACCGGAAAAAATCGGACCGCCGGATCTGAAAATTCAGTGTAGTGCACAAGCGCCCTAAGGCTCTATTCATCCATTTATCTGCCTATCCGTCAATCAGTAAACAGTATCACATGATAGCGAGACAGTTGAAATTTGAAAGAAATCAATATTAAATATTTAAGGGGAGCCCCCCACACATCAAACGTTTTTTTTGCTATTTTATAGATATAGTGCTAACCCTTCATGTGTGTGCATTAGACGATATAGAATTGCGAGTGCGACACGCACTTGGTCTGTTTTTTTATTCATTATCTTATACCGCGTGCAATTATTATACTATGTTTATGTGTACTGCACACGTATTATCTGTCAGGGTCGTAAGGTTGCCCTATCTCCATAGAAACGGTGCCTGATAATGTTCTATGTGAAACGAACAAAGAATTTCCTGTATGCATATGTGAATTTAAAGCAGAGTCTTATGTATCCAGATAATATTGAACAGCTTGTAATGGGACCTTGACACGTGTTATATGTAATCTATCTATTGAATAGGCTCGGAAACTACTCGTACTGAACAGATTTTAAAAATTCTTTCACCTACGGGAAGCTACATCTTATGCGGTGTAAATAAGCTATATTTTATCCCGAAGAACAGCAAATAACGGGAGGAAAGTTTGTATAGGGAATTAAAACGTTGCCATAGTAACCATTGTTTACTATTTTATAGCTCGGTAGCGTGGTGGATAAGCGCCGCGGCCCGCGATCGTTGTCGTTAAGCAACTTTCGCAAGGGTCGGTCACGGGATGGGTGACCAAAAAATTGTCTCGAGCTACTCCGTGCTTCGGAAGGCACGTTAAGCCGTTGGTCCCGGCTGCATTTGCAGTCGTTAATACTCTCCAATCCGCATTGGGCCAGCGTGCAGTCTCATGACCCATCCTCCTTAACCATCCATAAGGAAGGCCTGAGCCCCTGCAGTGGGAATGCAAAAGGGCTGATGATGACTATTCTATTAATCACTGTAATTACAGCCGTGTCATAATATGAATCGATATCCAAATAAAAAGTTCCCTAGGGATAACGCGGGTGAAGTCGCTGGCAGAAAGCAAGTAGCCTCATATGACTTATCTCCAGATTTTTCTGGTTGGACCTATATAGTATGCTATAAGTCTGTCATTGTATGATTTAGTATTATATTATATGTAGTATCTATTTGTTAATAATGGAAAGCTAGCAGTTTTCCTGCAACTTCGTCCTCGGAATTATAGCTTATACGTATGATGTTATGTTACTGAAATTGTGCGTTAAAAATGCTAAAAATACTAGTGCATATTGGCATGCTATTGCGATTATTGTAAAAGTAGTACGTAATTTTTTCTTCAAAATAGATAATTTACTTAAAAATAGTAAGTAATTTGCCCTTAACATTAAAATTTATAAATTTTTTACTTAAAAATGGTAAGTTATTTTCCCTTAAAAGGAAACGGGTAACTATGCAATTTTTTATCCATCGAGGATTTTTATTAATTCATGTTTAAGTTGAGATATAACCCTTAGAATATGATGTAGTAATCTTATTTTTAAAATAACAGCTTGCTTTGGACGTGACTTCCTTAAATGAAACTAGTTGAAGTTAGTGATTTATTGCGAACTCTTAACACTATTGAAATACTCTGTCTACATGGTTAGAACATTTTTAAAATTAAGCTCTATTACACTTATGTACAGATTTTTTTTTTCTTCTTATAGCGGGATGTGTTTCAATTCGCCGGAGATAACGCCATCTATTGAGCAAGTAGAGCATTGCTTCGGCGCGACACACCCCGGCCTATATGACTCGCAGCGCCATCTGTTCGCGCTTAACTTCAGGGGGCTGAGCTTCTACTTCCCTGTTGATAGCAAATTTGAGGTAACATATTATATTTGATTATAGTTTGGTTTGCGACTTTAGCAAAAGCCGATTACTATCGGATCGGTAATAAAAAACATATTATTGTGAAATCCCCTTACTTTGAAAAGCATATTTGCGTTAACACCCACCAAATCGCACTGGGACTTTGTAGGTTATATATGTATGTCTTCTCAACGTTCGGTTCCATCCCTGTAAAAATGTCATTATAAATTGTACATTAATAATTTGGTAACTGACTGACAGATGAACTATAGTTCTTTTAATCTAATTGAATCATGGATTCTGACCTATTTGCCTAATGTTTGCCTAATAGTTAATTTTTCAAAATCAATTAAAATCAATACCATATCATAATACCATAAATAACTATCACAACCGCTATACCTTTGAAAGAGATTGTGATATATTTTAAAATAAGACAATTAGGCGACAGGTCAATATTCGATGATTGTTGGTGGGTAATTATCTTTGACTAGGATATTTTTAAAAAAATATGACAGAAACTTTAATAGATGATATCTGTTTTTTAAGATAATTAATCATCAAATATTGACCAGCTTCCTTATTCTCATACGCAATCGCGACCGATCGACATTGCAATTGTGCCGTTTCTTACTCTTGATTGGGTACACTAGCGCCAGAATATGCTGTATGTGAACCAGTGAAAAGTGCGGAGCGTTCAAGAGTAAGAGCGCTCTTTTAAAGAGTTTTCTGGCCCCGCTCAAGTTCCTAAGAAATAATCTCGTGTCTATGGTTATTGTCTGTATGTTTTCAGCCCGGCTACGCGCACGGGTTAGGATCGTTGCAGTTCCCTAATGGAGCATCGCCGGTCGTCTCTAGGACAACCATTTACTACGGATCTCAACACCAGGTAACGGAAATTAAGGTACGCTTTCATATGTTTTTTTTATAATTTGCATTTTAAATTATATACATTTTTAAAACCTGTCATAAAAACTTTTTGGCAAAAGCACGATTTGTATGTTAAGAACTATCTTAAGAACTATCATTAAGTAAAAAAACTGTTATTTTGAAGTGTTTTTCACAATTAATTATTCTTATTGGAACTCCATTCTTTGGATGAAAACAACCTGTCCTGAATGTGTCGAGAGTTAGAAAAAAAAATGACACGTGTTGAATCACGGTCACTTTCTTTTATTACTATTTTGGCCAGTTGAACTTTGAAATTATAGGTAGGTATTTAATGACTTCATAATAAACCGCTATAATTCGTGAAAAAAAAATATTATGGAATGTGTAATCGCAACGGTTTATTGATATAGAATCTAAAAAAAATAATTAATAAACTACGAATTTACAATAAATTTCTAATTCAAAATAAATTTAAACTGTGAGTCATGTGACTGCAATCGACACTATAAAAACAATGATTTTGTTGTTGACAGCACAGTATGACAATATTTACAATAGGCACACGTGTTAAGTTTTGAAAAATCGATTCATCGATCATGTCATATCAGGATTCAATATCGATAAAATCAGCGTTAAATGACCGTTTTTCGATTAATCGCAACATTTTCAAACGTTTAGATTTGGCGTTAAAATATATTGAACGTCAAATTCGTACGATTTGAATCAATTAAAACATCAATTTCTTTCAAAATGAAACTACATATCTAGTGAGCCATCATATGTATGTTAATTTTTAACATTTACGTCAGATATCAAAGTGCCGCGTTTTTGCGTCGAATTTAACTGTTAGTCACGTTTTATTTGATTTTAAAATTGATATTAAATAGCAATACGTTTATTATAAGTACATTTTAACCCAATAATTCGTTTAATATATGTTTTGAAATATTTTCAACTTTCGACTTATAGGCAGATGCTTAAACATCCATTAAAATTGTCATTAGTTTAAAGCGACATCACCCATACAAATTTGACATTCATTAGAGCTTAAAGGGGTCATTAAACGTTAATGGACGTATGGGCAACTGACCGTTAGTGTTTGTTATTGCGAGATTTTTTGTTAGTGATATTTCGCTAAGCCTGTGTACGTCCATGAGCTAACCCTGTATATGGTTGTGTGCAGGGTAACACGGGTACAGGTTGTACGGCGCCGCTGCCGGAACTGCCGCTGACCTGCTACCGTCAGCAGCTGCACCTGCGCCGGTGCGATGTTCTGCGAGCACCGCAAGCCACCAGGGGGGTCAGACTGCACATGTTCACAGAGGGTCAGTCTTATTTATTTTTTGTACCAGCGACTTAGCATTCCAGTCATTAGGGATTATTTGTATTTCTATCTTGCTACGTACCCCCTAAGTTAAATAATCATAATTATCATTAGCCTAAAAATGTCGTTAGGATAAACATTTATCAAATAATGCACATATATAATTATGGTTTTATATATATCAGAACAACATACTAACCATTAGTATAGGGTAGTTTCGGTAGTGAAAAATAAGTCACAGAATTGCACAAAAACTAAAATGTACTGCATAATATACATAGAGATTCTGATTTCGAGTCTTAAAATAGCACGATTACAAAATTAAGTAGTTATATTTTTGTCTGTGAAATGTACAACGAAATGTTCACCATTAAATATCGGTACAGGGAAATCAATTATTTACCGATCTTCGGACTTGTCGTAACAAAGTGTCTCAACGCCAGGTACAAGTCGCGCTTTAGAGCCGGTACAGGTGTCTCTGTGCCGCGTGATCCGCTTCGGGGACAGCTGCCAGCGGGTGGCGCGTTGCCTCGGCGCCCCCGCTCGCCTCTACTACAAGGCGGACGACAAGATGCGCATCCACCGGCCGACCGCGCGCCGCCGCCCCCCGCCCGCCTCCGACTACTTCTACAACTACTTTACGCTGGGCCTGGTGAGTGTGCTCACTTATAACTTCACGCTGGTCCAGTGGAGTGTCCACACTTATAACTTCACGCTGGTCCTGTAGAGTGTGCACACTTATAACTTCACGCTGGTCCTGGAGAGTGTACACACTTATACTTTCACGCTGGTCCTGTAGAGTGTGCTCACTTATATTTTCACGCTGGTCCTGGAAAGTGTGCACACTTATACTTTCATGCTGGTCCTGTGGAGTGTGCACACTTATACTTTCATGCTGGTCCAGTAGAGTATGCACACTTATAACTTCACGCTAGTCCTGGAGAGTGTGCACACTTATAACTTCACGCTGGTCCTGGAGAGTGTGCACACTTATTACTTCACGCTGGTCCTGGAAAGTGTGCATACTTATACTTTCACGCTGGTCCTGTAGAGTGTGCCCCCTTATAACATCACGCTGGTCCTGGAGAGTGTGCACACTTATTACTTCACGCTGGTCCTGGAGAGTATGCACGCTTATAACTTCACGCTGATCCTGGAGAGTACGCATTGGGCTTGCAAAATTGATATAGAAAAAATACTGTTTTTGATCAGGTCGAGTCGTCTAGAATATACACATGTTTCTTTATTTATTCGTTATACAACAATGAAACATGTGGTGAAAATCTTAAAAAAATATCTTTATAACTGTATTTCTCGCATCCTTTACATTCAAGCAACCGTTGAATAAATTCATATGATATCAAATGGTTATGTCTTCCATCTTATGCTGAAATGTTGTTTCCCAGGACATATTGTTCGACGCCAGGACGCACCAAGTGAAAAAGTTCGTCCTACACACTAACTATCCCGGACATTATAACTTCAACATGTATCACCGCTGCGAATTCGAGCTAGCCGTGCAGCCAGACAAGTGAGTTGATAATACGATATCATTTTATTTATACAGGGTTATTTGGTCGACCGACAGTTTCTCAGAAGGCTCTCTTTTTCGAAAACAAAACTTCATCTATTTGCGAAACACTAATGTGACAGCAAAGAAACCCATTTTCGACAATAGGAGTGTAGATTTTTTATAATTTTATTTTATATATACATGAAATATATTTGAAAAAAAGTATCATTATCAAAAACGCCAACTTCTGTTTGCACTGTTTGCGATCACGTGACAATGAGTATAAATATTTGTTTTTATAATAAATTTAATCAACAATATCAATATAATAAGCATTAAAGTGTGATTATCGGTAATATTATATTAAACACTACCAAAAAAATAAATGTATTTATTTTTGTTTGCTGTCTACACCCGCATCTAAGATGCAACGGAGGTAGAATCTGATAATCTTTGCTGTAAAGATTTTAAGAAAATTATGAGTTTCGCAATTTCCCTAAATTTTGTTCGTGAATATCCCTCAGAATTATATATTTTTACAGCTGATAAGCTGATTGCTCTGAGTATATATGAGTAGAATAAATTTTTGTAGAAAATTGGGACGCAAATTTGCCACGCAAAACATCCTGTAAAAGAGATGATAAAATTATGCCTCTTGGTAACTTACCTTAGTAATTTACTGTAATAAATAACCCGACATAGATATAACAAAAGGGTGGCGTCACAGAATATGTATTTATTTATAACGCTATGAGAAACATATAGCACTTAATATTACCAATAGTTCGATACAATAAAGTTTCTACAATTATTTGGATTAGATTTGTTGTTTTTCCGTAAAAAAAAAATATGTTATACGTTTTTGTTGTATCCTACAATTTCCAATTGTCATTGAACCCTACATGAAATGTTTTATCGAAAAGAATCTATATTTTATAATTTTTTTGACCGTATTTTTTAAATAATATAAGCGGTACAAAGTACCCACTTTTACTGTTCCATCTCAAAAAGTATGTTAACAAATGAATAGAAAATGGAGTTAACCGATTATCAACTTTATTTCTTGTAGATGTGATCCAAATTCGCTGGTTGACAACCGTGGCGCGGTCAGTATAACCGCGTACAGCAAATGGGAAGTGGTCTCGAGGGCGTTACGCGTCTGCGAGCGGCCAGTGGTTCTCAACCGGGCATCTTCTACCAACACCACCAACCCGTTCGGCTCCACCTTCTGTTATGGGTACCAGGATATGATCTTTGAGGTATTTTATAAAGTTTATTATCACTTCAATAATTTTCATTAACTTAAATATTTAAAAATCCGTAAATATGCTTATTTTATTTTGTTTTCATTCACATATTATTATAAAGATTTAATATAATATTACTTCATATATACATATATATTACTATATAATATTACTTCATAGATTTAATCAGCGGTTCTGAACGTTTTTAGCTATGGGGTTTGGAAACCAAAATATCATATTTTCTGAAATAAAAACCAAGTTGTGTGTGCTGTTGCACATATATTACTCTGATTTCTAATTAAATAGGTTTTAGCACTGTAATAGCCAAACCTGAGACAATATATAAAAGCTTTTCTACATTGATCCGACTAGGAATTGGACTTTCGAAATATGACCACTATTTTTATGGACACCGATATATAAGTTTTGCGAAGTTAGAGCAGACAGCAACGATGGATTTCATTATTTTAATAATTCACTATTCTCAAGAACCATTAAGATATTTGTTCAAGTGATTTTCTATAAGAGAAATTTACTGTGAACAAAAAAATATAAAATATAATAAACGTATAATTTTTATTTCGTGTATAGGTGATGTCGAATAACTATATAGCCTCGATCACGCTATACCAGCCAGAGGGCACGAAACCACACTACGCTGTAAACTCGATCGCGTGACATACTCAGGTGAGTCGTAGATAGACCTCTTCATAGCGACTTTGAATTTTATGCCATATGTATTATGATAGAATGTTTTAATTTACTTATATTATTATGATGTCTTACAACTTCGTTAATAAATTCACTGGAAATGAAAAAAAAAGAATGGTTTCGGTAGTGAAAGCGAGACATAAAATTGGAAAAAAATAGTTAGATAGCATGTATTAAAAAATTAGTAACAATTAATCTATATCAAATTCATATAAGGTTACGCGTATAACTTGATACATATAATGTTAGCTTCCATAGTATGAAATAATTTATTTTCAACAGGTATCCCCGAGCAAAGGCACGTACGCGTCGTGAACATTTCAGTTCTTAAAAATTTCCACGTAAAACCTCCACTCGCGGGGCAACATTGAGCCCGCGCCACAGATAAAAATACCGTGACCGCAGATAATGTACTACGTATCCCTTATTAAGCACCTAAGAGGAAACAGTATTTAAAAAAAAATGTGATAAAAAAACTGTGAAAAAAAAAAGTGAGTGACAGATCTCAGACGGTGTTGTAAGCTTAATGTTTATTATACCTTAGCCTCAATGAACAGGAATAGTGAAAAAAATGTTTTATTTTTTACCACCTTGTTTTATTGGTGACAAAGGACAGTTTTATATACATATTTAAATGATAAATTAATAGTCAAATTGTGTTTCGTTTTGTATGTCTTATTATTATTATTATTATTGTATGTATAATAGGAAGCCATGTCAGATAGGTATACTAGTTATATTTTTTTTCTTACTTTGGCAATTCTTTCTTTTCTCGTCTTTCATTTTTATTGGTATTTAAATGTCTATCAACTTTTAAACAGCATGTATTATTTATTTATTATTATCAAATCTTGTATTCTTAGTTTGAAAATTGAATGTATTTTTTATTTGTTTTGTAATTTTATGATGTTAAGAGAAGGCAAAGACGTTATTTCATGTGAAATAGAAATAGACTGCTGTAAATATTTTTGAGATATTGACGGATGACAAATGAGAATTAATATTAAAAAAATGAATCAGATATCAAAGTATTTTTTCTAAAAGTAAATGACGAAGTTGCTAGGCTTTATTGGAGTAACATAAAACGAGAAAAAAGTATATGTAAAAAAAAATATTTTCTCTAAGCTAAAAGTGTGTTTTAACTGTAATTTAAGAATAATAAGAGTAGTCGAGTACTTGGAAGACACTTTTTTAAGTCTTTTTTGTTTTTATATTTTTTTCTACTATTTTATCTATATGAAAAATAAATCGTAAAGATTTTTGAAAAGTGATACCTTTTTTTATGTAAATGTTTGTTATTTATTCAATTGCTATAATTATTTGAAGCAGTCAAAATGTAATTTCTTATTTATAAAATGCCTCACAATAATTATGTAAGTGTTGTCGTATGTCTATTCGTAATTAAGTCTAAAATGAAAAAAAAAAAAAATAAGACAACCGATAGATATTCTTTGTGAGAAGTTAAATTTGGTTCAAGCAGATTTTCCCATTAATTACTTCTATAATAGTCAAAGAATTTAAAACTGCATTTGATGATTAATTAGTAGAAAAATCTTTGTTTAATAATCAATGTTTTTTGATTATGAACAAACGGTTTGAATATCTTTTTCGATTGGCTGATGAAATTGTTTTTGGGTTTGAAATTAAATTGGATATTTTACCTTATTATTTTAACAAACCATAGATGAAAACTCCAAAACTAGAAAGCCACATAATCTTGTAACCAATAGTTTATAATGGTAAATAAATTACGAATTTCACTCGCAAATAATATTTCTAATTTTTATCTGTTTAACAACCTTAATATGAGTTGGTGTAATTAAAAAAAAAAGAACGTAATTAAGACTACGACATGTTTATTTCGTAAGTAAATGTTTAACAACTTGCTTTTCGATTTATTTTGACATTATATTTTTTTCGAATACCTCACGAATCGAAGAGCTAAGTCCGAATCCGAAAACGTAGACTAGATCATTGTAAACTAGCTAATGTATTGTAATAATAAATTAATCATTATGTATATAATATTAAAGCACAATTTGTTTTGTTACGTTAATTATAGTTAGGTATGTTTGTGATGGATTCCTTGGTGCGACGAATGCTTTCTATGCTTCAATATAAGATAAAAAAACAACACTTTCGGAATGGAATATATAAAGAATGTGTTTGTGTAAGAGGGAGATCCCGAATATAAAATCCAATGAGGAAGTATTTAAAAAAAAAACGAAAGCAATAAAAAAGTACCTCCACAAGATGGCGACCCTAGCAAAAGTTGATTTTTGTAGGAAACGAATGGACCAAAGACAGTAATTTCCGTTCCTTTTAACTAACATATTAAAAAACTGAAATTTGAAAAGTTCGAAACTTAGATATCAATACAAATAGAATATCAGTTGTTTATTGAGTTTTGAAAAATAATTTACTTTTAAACATAAAAAGAAAACCGGAAGGGTTGTCATGGAGAAATCAAGAACGTACCATAGCGACATCTAGTTTGATTTTGGGAAGTAATTTTTTTTTTAAATACTTCCTCATTAGTAGCTCAAACTTTATTAGTAAGTATGTTGCGATTATCGCTAGATGGCGTTACCGTATTGCAGTTCCATACTTACCGAATCAAACTTCACATATACACACACATTTACCCTAAATAAAAGCTATGAAAAAATTTGCGGTGCAATTTTTAATGAGCATCGGCCCTAACGTAGGCATGCTGAATAAAAAAAAATGAGTCACAAAATAATTTTATTTGATAAACATTGAAATTATTTGAATTTTTTATTTTTTTGTTTATTATGAATTTTATTGCATGAATTGATTTTTTTTTACTATCGAAAGCTTAAAGTAATCTACTAATATGTTTATAATAGTAAGCTACTATAGGCTTTGGATTCTAAATTATTTTTTATGGAAATTATGTTTATAAACAATAATTATTTAAAAAGTAATTATTTAAAAAAGGTAATTACAAATCCACGATGGAGTGATTTGAAGCCCGGATTATAATTTCATATTTTCTTTTCAATTCCCGATTTATGAAGATTTTTTTTTTAAATTTATTGAAGACTCTTTTACACCTACAGCAATTAAATCAACATCCTTAAGTAAAATTCAAAATAATATATGTATAGAGAAGACGTATGGGTAAAGGGATAAGAAAATTAATCCAGAAGAATATATATTTCAATAAATATTTGATCGGAAAACTTTTCTCAAAACTATAATATATAATTTTATTGGTCGCTAATTGCTATATTTTGTTTATCAATCGAATCTTCTTTTTCCCAATACCCACCGCAGTTTGGTGTAAATGTGTATGTTTAATAGGACTCGTTCACATTGAAGATGAATACTAAAATACCCCTTTTTTTAGTTTTGTACCTGTATGGATAATTTTATTAAGTGCCAATAAGGCAATCGAGCTTCAAGGCAGTAATAATATTGATGTTTCAATCAATATTGAGCATTGAGAATACTGAACCTTTTTTCATATCAATTGTGAATAAAATTTTACTTCTAGTTGAAAATATGTTTACAGGTAAAATTCTTCACTCCATAATTTGATATGAACTTATATTCCACATAATGGTATTATCTTCTACTATTTATGAACAAATAAACAAAATGGCTGAACAGCTTTCAAACGGGTTTAAACGTAATGAATTATTCTAGTGTCAGTTCTATAAAAGCATAGTAGGGGGAAATTTGCGTCTCTTACTCGTTTACAATGTGAATGGAACCTTAGAGTGAGCGGCTATAGGTGCCATAATAACGAAAAAAAAAAAGAATAAAATATCGACAAATAATAAAATAAAAAGTATTAAGTATAAGGGTAGCGTTCGTTATAGGCTCGTTATTATATTGCGACATTTAAATAAAATACTATTAATTTCATTTTGAAATAAACTTATTTCTTCTCTTAAATGATATATTTTTTAATTTGCATCTTAGCTTATATTTAAACAAGTCGTATATATAGTAACGAGTGGTTTTTTTTTCATATAATTACCTTATTTTCTCTTACTGCGCTTGTATTCGCAGTTTGTCACTTTATTCATAATGTTTATTATGTAACGTGCATGTCAACCATTACTGTCATTTCATATACAACGAGCGAGGAGTGTATTCGATGTTGGAGAATTGAAACGACAATTCTCTTGTCACACCTCGGTGCGAAATGAGAATCGAATGATTTGTTCTCACGATTTGTTTGTACAATTGCAGAGGTAATACGCATTATTTATTTTTCAGTGTAAAAGAGTCATGTGTTTTCAATTCTTATGCATCACCCCCACTTCCCGCCACGGCGTGCTAATAATTCTCACTCATTGTTTTACATTGAGTCTGGGTCTGGGTTTACAGCTGCCTATACTGATTCGTCACTGATACAGTGTGAATAAGGCTTTATCTAGCAAAAGTGATTACTTTCTGCCGTTACCGTTTGCTAAATTACCCGCGAGTCCAATCCAATTATGGTTTACTTTTTTAATGCGGATATAAATAATGCCGCTTAATCCTATTTATTTAATAGCTTATGTTATTTTTAGCGTTCCGACGGTCTTAGTTACTAATTTTCCGAAGCCTTCTAATATACATAATTATAATTATATTTTTATTGACTGTTAAAAAAAAAACAAAAACTTTTTACAGGTGAAGTTTTTTTAAATTGAACTATTGAGCATAATTTTGAATTATTTATGAAGCTTTGAAAGGACAACTTGATAGTATATACTAAAAATATATAGTCAACAAAAAAATGAAATTATATATTTTTTTTATTATTAATCTTTAGAATTGTGTAAGCATTTGCTTTAAAACCCAGTTATATTTTTAGAAGATCCACGACTTTTAGTGGTTGACGTACACAAAAAAAACGTATAATATAAACTAAATATAGCTTGTATATTATACGTGTAGAATTATGTTATGCATATAGTGATACGTAACGACCCTTAGTGAATAAAACGAGCTAACTCGTATATGTTCTTTAGAATAATGATAATAATTAATTAGTAACATTTATTGAGAGGCATAATAAAGCTATTTCATAATTATTTTTTACATTAACTACCTGAATCATGGTCACCCTACATTGTATGTTAAAATTGACAGTGGAAAATGTACTTTCCAATTGAAGAAAAATAATTTTAGCTCAGCAGATTGTAAATATATACGACGTTAAGTTACAAATTACTAAGAGTGGTGAAGAAATAAGTGTCAAAAAATATATTGTTTGTGTACTCATTTATCGATCTCAATATTTTATTAACTCAAAACCATTCTTAGTACAAATCGTTCTTGTGGTTGCAAAGGTCGCAGAACAAAAAAATCTTTTAATTGATACCAAATATCTATCGCTTATTTGTTCTGTGAACCGTCGACCAATTATTAACTAGTATATCTTAACTGTGTGGGCATTGTAACTCGATATAGGACAGCCATATGAATATATTATTAACTAATTT